GTCAAAAAGCGAATTCGTTTTACGTATCTTCTTGTATTGCACCACAACGCGTTGTGGCAATAAGGAATGGCCACAACGCGTTGCGGATGATTGTTTGAATTCAAACACTTGAGAAATACATATGTAAAATATTAATAATTAAAAATAATAATTTATTATAAGTAAATTATAAATAAATATTAATAAATACATTATAAATAAATATTTATAAGTAAATTTATAAAATAAATAATTTTTAGCACACTTTAAAATAAAAATCATAACATCTATATCATTTATATTTTAATAACATTAATAATCAGTTCATTTATGTATTATGTATTTTTATATGTTGTCATCTGGTAGCAAACAAGGTTTCGTAAGTTGTAATTGCAAACGATACTGCATTGATAAAAAATGCACTTGTCGTGCATCAGACATAAAATGCAATTCTAAATGCCACAAAAACAGTTCGTGCAAAAATAAATAATAAAATAATAAATTTAATTTGAAATAAACATACTTTCAATTATTTAAATTAGAAACTTAATATTGTTCATTTCATTTATTTCATTAAATTGTTGTTTAATATTTTACTCAAGTGTTTGAATTCAAACAACCATCCGCAACGCGTTGTGGCCTTTCCTTATTGCCACAACGCGTTGTGGTGCAATACAAGAAGATACGTAAAACGAATTCGCTTTTTGACCGTTTTGACTTTGCCACAACGCGTTGTGACCGTTTTTTTGTAAGCCACGAAACGAAATTCGGGTTCGGACAAATTTCATAAGCCACAACGCGTTGTGGTCGATTTTTTCGCTCAATGAGCGTTTTCGCATTTGGAGCCTAACATATATATTATGTATATAACGAAACTAATCTTCTCTCAAAGTCTTTATAGAATTTTATATTATACTGCAATCTTTCAAAATTAAATATTTTTCAACTAGAAAAATTCTAATAATCCAAATCTGTAACAGTTAATCTATATATATTCACATTGTACAGATTCTATTTCATAAGAAACATAAATATGTATTGTTACATTTACATTCGATGTTTTTACTTTTTTTATTTCAATTATTAAAAATTTTTCTTCAATTGCTTTTTTACATTAAAAATTTTTTTTTGATTAAATAGAATTTTCTTTTAGCCGAATTTTTATTTCTTCAAATTATTCTTTGATGGAATTTTCAAAAAAATTATTTTCTATATATTACAGAATTTTTACATAACCGAACATATTTATTCACATTATTTATATATTTGATCGAAAGTTTTTGATGAAAGTTAATTTGAATAAATTAAAGTTCTGTCAAATGAAAATTCGATCATATTAGAAATTTTGTTAAATGATTTTTAAGGTTAAAAGTAAAAATTCTGTGATATGAAAAATCGATTATATGGAAATTCTGTCAAATAATAATTCAAGCAAATGAAAATTCATCTAAAAGAAAATTCTATGCAATGAAATACTACCTAATAAAAATTCGATCAAATAGATATTCTGTGATATTGATTTTTGGTCAAAGAAAAATTCTGTAAATAAAAAAATTGGTTTAATGGAAATTCTACCAAAAACTAATTTAAACAAATATAAATTCGCCTAATTAAAAATTCTATCTAAAGATGTAACTTTATTTTTTTGTAACTGACCAAATTATACAATGCAAAAAAATTTTTTTGATTCAAATATTTGGTTATTTGACTATTATCAAATAAATATTTACTTGAACCAAATAATTTTTATTTAAATTAAAGAATTTTATATTTGATACAAAAAATTGTGTATTTGAAACAAATATAATTTAATTAACTTAAATAATAATAATTATTTAATACAAATAAATATTTGTTTGATAATAGTCAAGTAACCAATTATTTTAATCAAATAAATTTCTTTTCAAGTTACTTTTATTTATCAAATTTTGTAATCTTTTATATATTATTTTTGATATTTTTTTCAAAAGCTATCATTGTTTCGTTAACAATTTATAATCCAATTGAGACTGCGGTTTACTATGCTGCTGTTTAAAGTAGGAACTTAGTAAAACGTTTTTCCGTAAGGGTGAAAATCGTTTCATCAACTCTATCGATTTTCAAACTTATGAAAAAGTAACTTACTAGGGTTTTTACTTTGGACAACAGTATGTATACAAACTAAATGTATAAAAAAATAAAATAAAAATTTACTAAATGAATTAGTAGTTTTCTACTACATTGAAAAAAATTAACTAAGATCTTCAACTACCGTTGTTAAGTTAACTTAAAAGTAGTTAAATTTTTTTTATTAAAGTCTTTTTATTAATTATTAAGGTTTTTTATTTAATCTGACTTTATGTATGTGTAATTAATTTAACTACTTTTTTATGGAGTTAATAATTAGTAGTTAATTTGGCTAAGAAATGTAGTTAAATAAATTATAAAAACTAAAACAACTACAAAATCTAATTCTACCCAACAACATTCTTAAATATTTTATCTACTTTCTCAGAGTCAGTACAACTTTTTAAATTCAGTTTGAGAACCTATTGTACTAGGCAGAGTAGTTAAAAAGTACTCAAATCTACTAGTTTTTTTTTCAGTGTACACCGAGAAAAAATTTTTTGTTGATACAAAAAAAATCATTTTCTTTGTTTTAAGGCACAAAATTTCTTTGATTAAAAAAAAAAAAATTTGTTTCAAAAATAATATCTTTGTTATAAATAAATTTTCAGTTTTTAATATATTAGAGAATTTTTTCAATCCTATAATATCAATGCAAAAATTTTTTTAATGCAAAAATTTCTTTGCTTTAAAGCAAAAATTTTGTTGATTCAAAAAAAAAATTTATATTTAAATCAAAGAAACTTTCTTCTAATCTCAAAAAACCTGTTTTTATTTTAAAGGAAATTTTATTTTTAATGAAACAAAACTAGTCAATCACTGCAAAAAACTGTCTGTTTTAGAAGTGAAAAAATCGTCTTATTGTTTTAAGAATTATATTTTCCATAATTGTGTCTTAAAACAAAGACGTTTTTTGCACTTTAAAGACGAACAGTTTTTTGCAGTGTAAAGAAACAGATTTCGATCTTTAAATCAAATAATATCTTTTTTCGGGGTATAAAAAATTAACCCCTTTCTGTGCGGCGATGGTACGTGTATACATACCACCTATTTGCTTTTAGTTTTTTTTCTATATTTTGTATATATTTTACAGCACTCCTGTAAGTGTGGTTACTTTTTGGAAAAATATGGAAAAATAAAATTTTGAAATTTTTCTTAACTTTTTATTTGAAAAAAAACCAAATACTTTTTAGAATTTTCTCTCAATTTTTGGTTAGAAAAAAGTCGAACACAGTTTCGAAATTTTTCTTAACAGCTTATTTGAAAAAAATCGAACATTGTTTAGAAAATTTACTCAATTTCTGGTTAGAAAAAAGTCGAAAAGAGTTTCGAAATTTTTCTTAACATGTTACTGAAAAAATCGAACACAGTTTCGAAATTTTTCTTAACAGCTTATTTGAAAAAAATCGAACATTGTTTAGAAAATTTTCTCAATTTCTGGTTAGAAAAAAATCGAAATGAGATTCGAAATTTATCTTAACACGTTACTGAAAAAATCAAACACAGTTTAGAAATTTTTTTTAACACTTTGTTCGAAAAAAATCAAAACAGATTTCGAAATTTTCCTACATTACAATTTCGAAAAATTTCTAACCTTTTCGAAAAAAAACTGGCAAACTATTTTTCGAAAAAATTTTGAAAAAAATTTTTACAGTGATATACACAAAAAAATACTGCACCGCTAATTGTATACAGGAGTCAATTCTCAACAAAATTAAATAAAAATATATTCTTCACAATTAAATACAACATGAAAATGCCCTACACAATAAACTATTTACTAGAAAATTATCTTCATAAACTCTACACAAATAAACTCAACACATATTAAGATTTAGAATTAGAAAAATGAAAAAAAAAAATTTTATAATTCTACACAAATAAATACTACATCAGTAAATTTTACACAACTATAAAAAACAAAAAATTTATTTCGACACAAAAGGAAAGATTATTTTCATGTATCGAATTTAATTTTTTGTTTTTTATAGTTGTGTAAAATTTACTGATGTAATATTTATTTGTGTAGAATTATAAAAATTTTTTTTTTTCATTTTCCTAATTCTAACTCTTAATGTGTTGAGTTTATTTGTGTAGAGTTTATGAAGATAATTTTCTAGTAAATAGTTTATTGTGTAGGCTTTTTCGATGTAGTATTTAATTGTGAAGAATATATTTTTATTCAGGGTGTCTAACAAAGATTGAGAAAAAAATTCCCTGACTTTTCCCTGACATTTTTTGATTTTTTCCTGACTTTTTAATAACCTTATTTCTGCTTTTTTTGGACAAAAATATGATTACTGACATATTTAACAATAAATTAATTTCTAATGGTAGTAACAAATGGTAATAAAAACCATTTAAGTTTTTTTAGATTTAAAAATTTTTAAATTCACAAAAAAATTTTAATTTTTGTAGAAATTTACAGAAATTTCCCTGACTTTGAATGAAATTTTCTGCAATTCCCTGACATTTCCCTGACCAACAAAATTCCCTGACCGTTAGACACCCTGATTATTTAATTTTGTTGAGAATTGACTCGTGTATACAGTTAGCGGTGCAGTATTTTTTTGTGTATAGAGTTTATTTCTGTTGAATTCGTACCGCCCCGTCAATTTATCTCTAATTTTGATTTGCACAAACTTTCAAGAAATTAATCCATAGAAGCCTCCGAATAATTTTAAACCAATGTAATTCATATCGTCTCATTATTTTTTCGTTTTCGTTTATAAAAACGAATTTAGTCATTTTTGACTAAAAATTCGCTACTAATTAATTTAATGAACGAATCGGCGCAGTTGAATTAGTAACAAGTGTCTAATTCAGAGGGATGATGATGATAAAAGGAATATATAATAATAAGGGAGAGAAAAAAAAGAAAAAAAAAGAAAAAAAAGTGGAGGCGTGGTGCATACCTTCGCAGATGTACCCCTGCTGTATGAGGCCCCAGAGCATGTCGGTGCAGCTATGGCAGTACGTCGGCTTGTGAAAGGTTTTCTTACTGAAGCTGTGTCCATGGCTGGCTGGAGTCTCGGCCGAGACCGACGCCATGATCCCCGATCCACCGCGGCACCGCTCACGCCAGATTCTCACCGTGAAGCTACGTAGGGCGCGCCGCGCATCGACATATTATATATTACATGCCAACCACTACGTTATCTCGAAACCGTACGCGAACATTGCGTTGCTGCAGCCCGAGGCCCGTCACAACTACTTCTTCTTCTTCTTCAGCTGCTACTTCGTCTTCGTCAACGATCGCTACATTCACATGCCTGAGGCGCATTTCCGGATCAGGAAATAGCTCCTCTTCCTTGGCACCTCGTTGTTCTCGTCCTGTCACACTCTACGTTGGTTACTAGCCGCCTCCTCACAGCTGATGGTCATATCACGAGTGAAAATACACTATCGGCGCAACGTACGCGCATCCAACAAACGAACCAAGCGCCAATTGCCCTAGACAGCAAAGCAGCCTACTGATACTGTATTCCACTGACATTCAGCCCCACTCCGCAATAAAGGAGGGCGCCAGCCTCCACAATAAGAACACCCTTGCCACACAAAAATTTCAAGAGTTCCAAAAAACCACTTTTTTGTCCTCTTTTTTTTTCTTTTTTCTTGCCCTTTCACTTTTTTTTCCACCCAATTTTCTTCTTCTCCTCTCTATTCCTCACTTCTACCATTTCTTTTTTTCTCTCTCTCTCTCTCGTTTTTTTTTCTTCTTCTCCCAATAAGCTCTGTCGTCGCCCTTTCACTTGAGCCAAGATTTACACCTTGAAGAATGATGACAAGTGGTCAATGTCATTTGATGATAATAGAATTTTTGGTTTTAATTTTCACTTTTTTTTTTTCCCCCTTCTAATATCGCTTATAAATTTCACATATCTTGAATCGCGTGATAATTAAATTATTATTATTATACTCAATATAATGTTTATGATTTTGTTTTTAATTTTCTCTCGTTATGATCGACACGAATTTTGTGAGCTCGGGCTCGAGGGATCCGGGATCCCGCACGTCCAATCTCGACAGGAGGCCGAACGACGAGCGACGTCCAACGTCGACAGAGGAACGACGTCGACCATGACGGTGACGACGATAGTTGCGCGCCGACGCAACTTTTGTGACGTAGATTGAAACGCGTGTATATATGTATACAGCCAGGGTATATCAATCGAGGGAGAAAAAAAAGTGAGAGAGAGGGAGGGAGGAACTTTCAGAGAATGGAGATTTTTCATTATTCTTATATACATGTATGCGCTCAATGGTAATTGGGGGGAAATTAGTCAGGAAAAGATTAGTTTTTTGGTTATATTGATTTTTTTTCCCGAAAACGCTACTCCTTGTGATGCACATATATATATATAGAGAGAGAGAAAATTTTATATTTTTTTCTCATTCTCAATTTATATATATATATATACCCAACCAAAAATTTCAGTATTATACCAGAGTTGACTACTGGCGCAGTACTGGTGCAGTATTGGCTGCCGAGGCTGGGCAGTCTGTACTGAACCAGTACTGGTATGTTCATTGTATCAGTACTGTTGCAGTACCATCCTCCCAGTACTGGCAAACCAGTACTGAGCCGATATTGAGCCAGTACTGGCTTAAATACTAGTTTACAAAAAGTTCTAGAGTGAACCTGATGAATCTGTTTATTTAAATATTTTGTTTATAAAAATTTTTTCACCTTGATTTTATTTTTCAAAATTAAAATGTATTTTATTTTGCTTTTCTGTGGGCTAAATTATTGAAATAAAAAGTTTCCTGAGACCAATTCCAAAAGATTTTGCAAGATTTTCTTATTTTTTTTTAGATATTCAATAAACTAAAAAAAAATTTTGAACGATCAAACTAAAAATAAATAAATTTGTTTATATAATAAATTTATATTTTTTAAAATAAAAATTTAAAAAAAATTTTCTTGACAACACTATTGTTAAAAATCAAAAAACAACTTTTATTTTCTTAAAAAAGTTTTTCAAAAATTCATTTTGATGCAAATATACATATATGTGAATAAAAATAGATATTATACTTTTGAAAAAAACTTAAAATTAAATATATTTTTACCCGAAAATTTATAAACCTACAAAAAATTACGTATACTTTTTTTTCTCAAAACTTTGGTTTTATAATAAACATATTTTTATATTTATTTTTTGATTTTTTAAAATAATAATTTGCAATATGAGGCATTCTATCTAAACCCGTTCCACCTTCAAAAGACGATCGCCAGCAGAGCGTTTTTTAAGTTAATATTTTTATATCAAAAGTAAATAATTTATATAATGTTACACACTATTTCGAAAGAGAATTTAACGACCTTTCGATTGGTCTTAACATTTTTTTTAATTTCTTACAATTTCAAACAGAAATTTCGTTTTGAAATATTCAACTCTTGATATCTCAAAACACCCCCCCTTCAATTTTATTTTAATATATATGAAAATAAAGCTTAGTTTTTCTAGTTTCAAATTCCGTTTGGTTTATCATGGACATTTGTGAGGATTTTTGGATAACAGTGATTCAAAATATGTGTTTTTGAAAACTTTGACACGAAGTATGAAGTTGAATCCTAACCCACATTCAACCTACGTCACACACGAATTTCATTGTTTTGAAAAAAAATCGCAACCTATAATAATAAAAATTTTCTGTAAGGAGATTAATAACATCGTATTTATTTTAACCCCTTGACAGTCCAGGGCCCATATGTGGCCAGAAAAAGTCGTGCCACCTTTGTGCAAGTGGCCATATATGGCCACCACAAAAAAATAATACTAAATTTAATTTGATTCTCCTGAAATTTGTTACTCGGGGGTTTTTGGGGTCGCTGAATCCAAATTTAAAGTCAGATTTCAAAAAAACAAAATGGCGGACCCAAAATGGCGACCATGAAAACTTAAAATTTATCAGATTTACATGAAACTCGTTGCTCAGGGGTTTTCGGGGTCGCTAAATTTGAATCTGAGGTCGGTTTTTCAAAATTCAAAATGGCGGATCCAATATGGCAACCCAATATGGCGGATAATTTAAAAATTAATGCGTTTTGACCACAAATTGTTACTCGGGGGTTTTTGTAGTCGCTGAATTCGAATTTGAGGTCAGTTTTTCAAAATTCAAAATGGCGGATCCAATATGGCGGACAAATATGGCAGACAATTTGAAAATTGATGTGTTTCCACCGAAAATCGTTTTTTAGAGATTTTTGGAGTCGCTGAATTTGAATTTGATGTTAGTTTTTCAAAATTCAGTAAGGAAAATCCAAAATGGCGACCAAAATTTTAGAAATAAATAAAAATCTGATGCTAGACTTTTTTGAATTTAAAAAAAACGACCTCAAATTCGAATTCAGCGACCTCAAAAACCCCCAAGTAACAAATTTCAGGCAAATGGGATCAATTTTTTTAAAATTTGTCCGCCATATTGGATCCGCCATTTTGAATTTTAAAAAAACGAATTTTGAAAAACTGACCTCAAATTCGAATTTAGCGACCACAAAAACCTTAAATATGATGAAGTCATATTTTTTTGGAAACTTTTTTTTCGAACCGTTTTAGGCCCACCAGCGATTTTTAACTGGACTGCGAAGGGGTTAATAAAATTCTTTTAAGTGATTTTTGAGTTTAAATTTAAAATTACTCACCAAATTAATTTTTTAATATTAAATGCAATTATTATTGGAGGAAAATTTTAAATAAATACTTTTATTTTATGAAAAAAAAGACATTTTTTTGTAGGTTAAACGAAACATTTTTTATTTCAGCAAAAATTAAACAGAAGAATTATAGTCCTTGAAAAAATACTAATTTTTAAATAACAAATTTTTTTCTTTATTTAGTTTTGAAAAATTTACTTTCCTCGGACGAAGAATATTTTTTTAAAAGCATTTGTGTTTCAGAAACAGGAATGAAGGTGTGATATTTTTGTGTTCCTGAAATTGTTTTAGATTCATTAAATCTTTTTTTAAGAAATTTTTTTAAAAAAATTTCAGAGTAAATCATACTTTGACTCTTGCTTAAAAATCTCAGAAGTACAAAAAATTAGAAAAATTGTTCTCATATAGCAACAATTATTATCACATTGCAAAAATTCACAATATTGCGTACTAATATTGCTTTTTATTTGTCTCTTATAAATAATAAAAATTATGCTAATGAAAGATAAAAGCTGTAAAATTATAAAAAATTATTCTAATAGAGATTTATTCCTCTCATTTTTCTTGATATATTTAAAAATAGTAGAACTCAATCCAATTAATAGAATGGAAGATATAGCAGTTTAAATTTTTTTGTTATTATTGCAAAACTCATTAAACTAAAAAATATTTTAAGCTGAAATTTACGTTAAAGATTAGTCTAACTATATATATATGTAACAAAATTCCAAAGTTTCATTAAAATTGGTTAACCTACTTTGAAAAAGTGAAAATCTCATGTGGAATCGCACCAATAATAAATTTTAGAAATTTCTCTTTCTTAACTACTTATTGAAAAAGTAATTTGATTTAACTAAATAGAAGAAATAATTATTCAAAAACAATCTTATATTGTCAATTGTTTACTAGGGGTGTTATTTTAAAATAGAGAATTATATAATTTAAGAATATAATAATTTAAAATAGAAGTTAGGAAGACGAAGCGGCGCTTTATTTTTTATAAAAAATAAAATAAAAATACAAGAAAAGTAAAATAAACAATGGTAATATAATAATAATCATAGTATAGTAAAATAATATAAATTGGCGAACTAATTGAAATACTTAATAATACTTAATGATACTATTATTTAACAGAAATAATACATGTTAATTATTTGTTCAAGAATAAAAAAACATTCACGTAAATTAAATAAAAAGGACGCTGACTTGAGAATTAATATCTAAAGACATACGTCTTATTGGCACTGACTGTTACTATACTTAATCCTTGGCTGACCCATATCATCTGTATATACTGGTTGATACTTACTACTTATTATATATATATACTACTTACTTTATTTATGCTTCTTCGATGAGGCATTATCCCTGAACTGTCCCAAGTTAAAAAAAAAGTTATAGAATTGACTTGATACTTTTGAAATATGTTGTTCTAGTAGATTCTATAGTTGACATAAATTTATAGTAAAAAATAATGAAATAAACATGAATAAATTATAATAATAATAATTAAAACTATAAATTTAAATAGGTATAATATTTCGATACCCATGTGGAAATTTTTCCAAAGTAGCCCACACTGATATTGGACGCTAATTTGGCCCCAATTGGGCTACTTAAAGTTGAGATTTCACACCGAAAAAACACATCTGGGCCAAAACTGGGCTTAGGACTAAAAACTCACTGTCAAGTTAAAAATCTGACAACCACAAATTAGTATATTATTAGAAATGAACAAATGATAAAATCTAATTGATTTAATTAATTTTGTTCATTAAAAACGTGCTTTATTTATTTATTTATTTATATTAACATTAAAATTCAATTTTTTTTTTTGAAAAATTTTATGAGTCACATTTACAAAACAGTTTGTAAGTACAAATTGTATAAAAAATTATCTAAATTAAATTAAACAAATTCTTGATAAACTAATATTATTATAATATTGTCATTAAGACTATATAATCTTAATACTAAAATTAAATTCTATAAAAAATCAATTTTTTAAACTTTATTTACAATTTGATTTATTACTTTTTTTTAAGTTAAAATTTTCGAAAAATGGAAAATTTTGTAATAAGAATAATATGATAATAATAACAATAAATAGTAATAATTCAAGAATATGTTTTAATTTAATTTAGATAATTTTTTATACAATTTGTACTTACAAACTGTTTTGTAAATGTGACTCATAAAATTTTTCAAAAAAAATTGAATTTTAATGTTAATATAAATAAATAAATAAACAAAAAGAAAGTTTTTGTTAAACAAAATGAACTATTATACTGATTTTTTAGTGAAAATTCCACCTTGGGCTAAGATAGGATTTAAATGAGAAATATTTCATAAAATTTAATAATTAATTTTTTTCAGTGTATATTTACAATATTTTTAAAATTTCAATATTCAATATACCGTAAAGTACTTGACGTCTTTTTTTCTGCTAGAGGCATAATTTTCTACTCATATGAAATGCATATGAATAACAACCCCTTGAAGAACCTTTGACATTTTCAGATATGATCGACGTGTTCTCCTTTCGTCAATTAATATTGCCGAACATTATTTCAGATTTTATATATATATATATATATTCTCAATTATGTACACTGCGCCAGGATTTCAACTTTATATTTTTTATCTAACTCTTTATAATAAAATGAAAAAAAATTTTAATTTCATTCAATCTCATATTATATCTGTTTTATACTTTTAAAACACTACAGAAAACATCTTTAAAAGGAAGTTACTTTAATTATTAAATATTTAATTAGGTTAATAAAATTACGTTAATTGTACATTTATCAACTACAATCTAATTAACTTAAAATATATTTAATTAAACTACATCAAGTAGATTTATAAATAAAAAGATTGAATTGTCAACAAAATTAATTATAAAAATACATCTACTCTCTAAATCTGAATTAGTAAAAATGTTTACTAATTTAAATTAGTGACTCACTTTTTGCTTTAGAATTAGTAAAATTTTACTAATTATTAGTAACTTTTACTAACAATTAGTAAAATTTAACTAATTCTAAAGCAAAAAGTGAGTCACTAATTTAAATTAGTAAACATTTTTACTAATTCAGATTTAGAGAGTATCAATCAATTTTGCCATCACACTATACGTAATTTAATTCTTAATGAAAAAAATATATTATAAAATTAATTATTTTATTAAATGAGAAAAACAGTAGAAACCCGTTTATCCGGACCTCGATCAACCGGATTTTCGATTATCAGGACGAAATTTTCATTTCGTATTTTTTTCCTCAATGATTATAGGCATTTTAATGTATGCCTATATATATATTTGTCCTAATATGTATGTAAATTTTATATTTTCACATGAACCGTTGCGTTTTTATTTAAAAATTTTAAAAATATATTTTTACAAACTTTTCTAACATAATTTTTACTAAATATTTATGTATTTATTTATATAGTATCTAAGAATTTTTTTTCATGTTTTGAAATAAATAAATATGAAAGATTAAAGAAAATTTGTGTGTTTTGTAATTTCGATTATCCGGATTTTCGCATATCCGGACAACTGCCTGCATCTATTAGTCCGGATAAACGGGTTTTTACTGTACCTGTTATTTTTATTGTTTTCAAACATTTTTTCCACGTAATTGTTATATTTAGTACATCTGAATGAAAGGAAATTTTTTTTTGTCCTACACGGAAAAACTTTGTTCAAGAATCACGATGTTAGAAATTTTTAAAAATGCCATTTAAAACGTTCAATTTTATACGAAATAGTGTAAGTGTATGAATTACTGCTGATGCGCCAATTACTGCGATTTTTATAAAATTAGTAAAACTTAGTAATTGAGAACATAAAACTGCTTCAAAATGACTTTAAAACTTATTCCAAAAGATATTTGATATTACATCCGCTAATGATGCATATTTCGACTATTATCAAATTATTTATTCAAGTTACAATTGAATCTATCACAGTAATTAGAGCATGCGTATATTTTTCTCATGCTACTATTACTGTGGTCTATCCAGTCAACCTAACCTCTAAATCAACACTTTTAGCGTTGCAGTAATTGATGCACACAATTCGCAGTAATTCATGCAAACTTGCAGTAATACCAGCATATGCCATTTTTAAAAAAGTTAATATTTTTAATAATATATTTGTTATTTCTTCAAGTTTAAAGTTACACAGAAACAGAACGCACATGTTGTTATGGCAATGTAAGACTTACTTAAAATTCTATCAATATAATTTTTTCTTCTATAAACACTTTTCTTAAATATTTGCAACGAAATTCTTAATAAATTTAGAAACAATATTTCATGAAATTTCAGTTATTTTCGTTTACTTACGTGTTCCATATTCATACTTCCCACCCGTAACAAAAACTCTGCTCTGTTTTTAGGCTGTTTCCACAATAGCTAAATCGTATCGTCTTCAAGACGATTTTTTAGGATGAGACGATGCGCGCGCATTCATTGTCAACTGTCGACAAAATTAAGGATACTGCCACAACTCAATAGGCCAACGCAGAATAAATTCACGATTTGCGAAAGTCGTTCAGGTCTGAGCAGAATAGAAACGTAACCGGAATCGTAATCGCAAACGCAATCGAAAGAATGAGTTAGAAAAGGATAGATATATTGTTTGTCCTTCTCTAACTCATTATTCCAATTGCGTTTGCGGTTACGCTTCTATTCTGCTTTGGCCTTTCGTGAACGAGATGCATGAGATAGAACCTATTTTGCTTAGGCCTTTAGACAAAAAATGTTAGGTTATGTTTGTTATTTTTAGATTGAAAATACACAGAGCATAGAGTAGTATAAGGAGACCGAACGACCATGTTAAATCTGCGTTAAAAGTGGACCAAATTTTGGTAATCGCTTAGTGTCATGAAAATACGTAATGGAACACTAGCGCCACTGATTAAACCGAAAATAATGAGACTGAAAAGGATAGTGATATATCCTTGTTCTTTTCACTCTCATTATTTTCGGTTTTGCATTCTGCATTTACAGAACATGTAACTCCATCCTAAGTCTTCATTAGAAGTCTTCATATTCGCCAAAAAAAAACTGATTTTGGTTTTACATAATTAAAAAGAAACATTTAAATTTAAAAAAAAATTATAAATTTCCCCAAATGTCACAAACTTTTTTTCTCAAATTATAAAATTTGTTTATAACAATTAGTTGTTGTTTTATAATTTATTTTTTAATTATTGTTCCTTAAATTTACATATTCGTAATTAATTTATTTTTTATCTCGTCAAAAATATACTAAAAATATTTACACAAACACACACGATAAGCTTATATTATTTATTAACTTTTCATACGCTCAAAATCAAAACAATAAGTTGGTGAAGAAAGTAATACGATACCATTTTCTTTACAAAAATCCATTGCCCTAATGCTAACATGTGAAAAATGATTATCTAATAAAAGTAATATTTTATTCATAGGAGATACATTTGCATGTTTTTTAATGTGTTCAAGAAAGAGAAGAAATTTTTCATCCTGTATCCAACCGGAATTTTTGACATTTTTAGTTAAATCAATTGATTCATTGAACTGATCTTCATTATTAATCCGAGGAATTATAAACAATGGAGGCATAAAATTTCCCAAGGTATTTACAGCAATAACAACAGTATCTCCTTCATCAGAATTGAGTTTTCCATTTTTTTCTGCAGCGAATTTTGTTGCCTCCATCTCAGATTTTTTAATACACGTTTTATTGACATTATATATATTTTGTGCTTCAAAATTATTTTGATCAATAATAATTCTTGCATTCTCATAAAAAGTATTCTCGTTGTTCTTATTATTATTATTGAGGCTTACAGTTTCTGCTACACGGGCTGACAATTCAGTGTTTCTTTTTAAAAATGATCTTAACCATTCTTCGCCTGCTGTCTTTTTTACACTCCAAGTTGAAGGTCGTGTTAAATTATACTTAACAGTAAATTCGTAAGCTAATTTTCTTATTTGTTTCATAGATAGACCAGAAAATATATCGGCATAACGAAACAAATAATTTGAAAATTCAAGTTCTTGATTTTTATTAAAAACTTTATTGTGTGCAACATAGCCCATGCTAACATTTTTTTTCTCATCTTCATTTTCTACGCTATCGCGTTTACGTACATATCTTAAAAGTGAAACGTAATTAATTCCATTCATCTCTGCAGCTTTTCTCAATGATTTGCCATCTTTTACCTGATCATAAGCACGATGAAAGAGGGACATGTCGCTTGGTCCTCTCGTCGTTTTTCTCACACGTTCCCTTGGCATCTGGAAATTTTGTAAAAGATATTTTATTTCCCATTTCTCATTTTACTTATTTTGCAAATTAAACAAGTTAAAAAGTTGTTCATTTCATGATCATTTAGCTTCCTTATCATGATAAACACTTATATACCTATTTTATTAGTTTTAAAAAAATTCAAAATTTCAATTTTTTATTCAAAATAAAAGTAACAATCAATTTTATAAATATTGATAAAATGTAAACTTTATAAACATCAATCGATTTATTTTGATGTCAGGAATACAACTCTGACAAAATTTATTACAAATTTTCATGAAGAAAATAGTTATTTCAAAAAATACAAATGTAAACAAGGGGTAAATGTAAACAGCAGATATTGCAGCTTAATTTACAGATTTAAAAATAAGTTCGACCCCAATATTTTAACCTCAGCTCACCTGCAACAGGTTCTGAGTATTGCCAATTTTTTTTTCGACAATTGTCAAAGCCATACTCCAATTTGTCGCTTAATGCATGAAAGATTGAAAATCAAAGTTTTACTGTTTCAGTATTTTGTCTCGCATTTGAATAAAAATGAACTAAAAATTCAAACTAAAATTTCTAATTATTCCTTATGAATCCCTTAACAAAAGCTGACTTTGATTTTTTAATTTCGTCAATTCAGTTAATAGATAATTAAGTGTTTACATTTACCCCGAGAATTTGAAAACTCGGGGTAAATGTAAACAGAATTTCTGCTGCATTTTAAAAGAAAATAATTGAATAAATTTGCTTCTATTTCACAATTACATTATTTTGGCCCTGTAAAATTACATAAAAAACAAAATTGGATCTTCTTTTATATCTCCTTCGTGTTAGTCAGTTGCAGGTATAAACCTGCATAGTATTGCATAGTGCATTTACGTGTTTAAAATATAGGAAAGCGATTCTTCACGATTGGTGAATAAAACTCAGGTACGTAGGAATCCTAGAATAAGAGTGAGTGATTGATTGATTGATGGATTGATTGGTTGATTGATTGGACGATTGATTTATGGATTGGTTGATTGAGTAATTGGTGGATTGATTGGTTGATTGCATAATTGATTTATAGATTGGTTGATTGGTGGATTGATTGGTTGATTGATCCGCCATTTTGAAAATTTTAAATTTGTCTTCAAATTCGTATTCAGTGACCTCAAAAACCCCCGAGTAACGAGATTCAAACAAATTTGATCAATTTTTAACAATATTTTTATGTTTGTCCGCCATTTTGGATCCGCCATTTTGAAATTTAAAAATTCGATTTTAGAATCTTATTCAGCAACCTTAAAAACTTATTTTCACCAAGTTGAATGAAAATCTATTAAAATTTATTGAAGTTATTTAAGTTTTTACATTACTAGTTTTGTTATGGTAATGATTGCTTATTTTATATGTTGCATATCAATCAATTGGTTCAATTATTTTACATCTACCAAGAATTTTTTTTCAGTTTTTACATCCCTTTACACAGTAGTATACTTGGGATAACTTTTTTCTTAAACCTCTTTAAACTACAGGGGTGTTTACATTTACCCCGAATTTTGGGAAAATTTCAAAATCTCGGGGTAAATGTAAACAGTCAGTTTTAAGCGATTCAAGTTGATCATTATTTTGTTGTACCTCATAAAATGTTTCTAGGGAAGTGAAGTAACAAGTTCATGCAGTAGAAAACCGGAAGTATTGCTTTCTAAAATAAAAAACTTACGTTATTGTCGAAACTAAGCAAATCCGTTTACATTTACCCCAAATGACCCTACAAAAAACGATTTTTTTCAAAAAATAAAAAAAATAATTTAATCTATAGATTTCACTAAAATATGAACATTATAAAGGTTAATCGATTCGTTTTAATGCAAGAAATAAGTTTTTTTTACCAAACAAAATTAAATTTACAATGAAAAAATTTTTTAAAAAAATAAAATTTTCAAATTTTAAAAAAATTGTAAAAAAAATGTGAATTTATTCGGAAATTCTTGTGTCCGATTTTAGATATTAATGACTGCATTAAGCATACAAAATTTCAGGGCAATCCGTCAAAACGTTTCTAAGATAATTTGTAACAAAGCTGAAGTAAGCAACGTTAATGATAAACAATTTTTAAAGAAATAATTTTTTAAAATGAAAAATTTTATAATTTTTTGTATAAAAAATATTTTTTTTAGGCAAAAAGTTATAGAATTTTTCATTTGAAAAAATCGTTTACCATAAGAGTTGCGTACTTCAGTTTCGTATTTGTACACAAGATTTTGTGACATACACACACACACATACATCTGGACATTTGTTTAAAATTTCATATATATGTATTCTAGATAAAAATAAGCCCATCTAACCAATTTTTAAAAAATTGAAAATCGTCAAAAATACAAAGCTTCCTCGGCAGGAGAGGATGCAAAATTAATTAATTTATTAAATTAAAAACAAAATACCCATGACTTTTTTTAAAACAAACTGATGTAACTATTCCAAAATTCAATTATGTTAAAAATTTTGAATGTAAAGAATCTTTGCAAAATTAATTATTAGCAATAATTTTAATGAAATTCTTTGAAAATGCAATTATTTTAAACATTTTTCAACGAACAATTCTCGAAAATTCAATTATTGTCTAAAATTTTTTTAAAAAAAGTTTTCAAAAAAAGACGGTATCACTTTTTAAAGAAAAAAATTTTTTTTTCTTCATATAAAGTCGTTATCAAAAGTACACAAAATTTTTCAAAAAAAAAAAAACAATTGTATTGAACAAAACATAAATACTGTTATTTTTACATTCGATGTTTTTTTACTTTCGTTATTTTAATTATTTATAATTTTTCTTTAACTACTTTTTTTTAAATTGAAAAAAATTTTTATTTGTTATTTTGAACATTGAAAATTTTTTGTGTTTTTACTTTATTATTTTTTACATAATTTTTTTAAAAATTTATTTTAAACATAATTTTTTTTAAATATTAAAAAATTTGTTATATATAGGTATACAAAATAAAAGTTTAAAAAAATGTTGTAAAAAATAACAAAATAAAAAAACAGACCAATTTTCACAATTTTCAAAAAAACAAACAATTTTTTTATCGACGTAAAAAAAGTAATTAAAAAAAATTGTAAATAATTAAAATAACAAAAGTAAAAACATCGAATGTAAAAGTAATAATATTCGTAATAATAATGTTCGTGGTTTCGTTCAATCTAAAATTTGTTTGAATTTTTTTTGTTTTTTTTTTTTTATTTACATTCTCATTGAAGTCTTTTTGATTCTCATTTACAACTCATACCAAAATTTGGTATGAGCACATTACCACAAATGTGTTTTGACAGATTTGAGGTTATGTTTTGAGCACAACAAAAACACTGAATTTTGACCCATTTTTTATGCAGTACAGCAGACGATATTTTGTCTCGTGAGATAAAGAAACAATAATTTAATAAAAATAATAATAATAATAATAATAATAAATAATTATAAGTTTCGTGACCCAGAAAATACCTATTTTATTGAAAAAGAAATTTTGTTTTCTCCTTGCAATATAGTGTTACAATAATAGTGAAAATTGTATTGATTGGAAAATCGTTACAATTGTACTCACCTACCCTCTTTGTAGAAAAAATTCACAGCAACGAAAAAAAAATCTTTGAATAAAAAAACAAAAAACTATACTACACTGCCTCAATCTTCAAAGGCTTATTTTTTATATGTACAAAAATAAAAAAATTGAATACTTAAATTTAAATATATACACATATAGAATAATTTAAAAAAAATACTTACTTTGTCTTGAGAACTAAAATATGCGGCTTTTTATATGGGAAATTATCAAACAACTGCGATCTATTGTACGAACGTAACTCCCCTCTCACTCACACTTTACCACAACCGTATCTTGTTACAATCGTACCCAGTCTACTCTGACTATATAAAAAAATATCGCAGATACAATTAATAAAAAAAAAATCTTCTTTTTAAAAAAATTGTCACAAAATCCTACAATTTATTGTATTTTAGCTATTATAATAACTCGAAATTTTGGAAAAATAAAAATTTGAACTTCTCTCATAATTTCTATTATTTTTCATCAACAATTTTTTTTTACATTTTTTTTTTTTTTCATACTTTTGAACAATCAATTGTATGGATTTTGAAAAATGTCAATTTTTTCAAAAATTTAAAATTTCTAAGAAATAAAAAAAAATCTAAAGTAGTAAAAAATTATTTTTTCCCCTATATGTATTTTTTAATAATGAATATGCAGAATGATTTTTATGTTCCAGACTCTCTAAAAAAAAAAAATGTAATCTTATTTTTTTCGTTTTCTAAACAAAAAAAGTGTAATTAAAAAAAAATCTAGGGGGTCCGGAAAATAAAAATCACCCGCCTGTTTATGGTTTTAGGTATATACTAAAGAAAATTAATACTTCTACATTATATAAATTTCAATTGGAAAATATTTGACTGTTGATCCATTTAAAATTTAACTTCTTTTTATTACTTTGTGTACATTTTTTTAAATACGTTTTCCTCATTTTTTTTCATAATTCCAAAAAAATTAATTGTACTGGATCAGACCATTATATTTCGACCAAAGTTGTTGCGGCCTAATTTTAAAAAAAATTTATACTTGCAGTACTGATTCTTTATGATATGCAGAGAACGAAATAAAAAGATTTATTACAAAAATTTCTTTATTTTTCTCAAAATATGAGTTTAAAGTGGAGAAGGTCCGGAAAACTGTCACTTTTTTAGCAATTATAAAATATATAAAAAAACATATAATAATTGTTAAAAAGTAAAAAGAATTATTGTTTCTTGTTTAGAATGAATTGATTTATTATTTTCTAATGATTAAATTAGCGAAAAAATTAAAATAATGGATAAAATATGTCTTTAAAGTTAGTCTGTCAAATAACCTAATTTTTCGATTTTTATCAGTTAATTACAATTAAGTGGAATTATTAAATTAAATTTGAACTTACCTAAACTTTGCAACTGAATATCTTAGTTAAAGAAAAATAAAAAAAATTGGCACTTGCACAGCAGCTAAATCGGATCGAAATCTACGCGCACCATAAATTCCGTTTTGGTCCCGAAACTATTTTAGGAGATATAGGCGATTAAAAATTGCACATTATTTTCAGGTTAAAACTGTACTTGCTTCTAACTTGAAGTTGGTCTACTCTCAGCGATCGCGTTCAATGTTTAGATTTTGAAATTGATATAACGGCGAAAATTAAAATATTTTTCAAAATTAGAAAATAATTCGCAGTGCAATCGATAATTAACTATAATAATCTGCTAATATTATTAATAAAGCTGAAAAAATAAATCTAAAAATTATGACAATTTAGTCACAACGTAAATTAAAATACTTTTCAAAATTATTTGTGATTTTTGTAAAATCTCTGTATCAATTTTTTTTAAAATTAGGCCGCAACGACTTTGGTCGAAATATAATGGTCTGACCCGTACTGATTTTCAAAAATTTTCATTTTTTCAAAAAATAAAAATTCTAAAATGATGTTAAATATTTTTTAAAATTTTTATAATATAGAATAATTTTAGACAATAGGTAGACAATAAAATATATTTTATATTAAAAAAAAAAAAAAAAAAAAAAAATTGGTACCTATAAAAAATGCAAATTTTGACAAATTAAAATTTCACTGTTCCCTCTCTTTAAAAATTCGATTTTTTTGAAACTTGAAAAATAGTCGTAAGAAAAATCAAATAAATGATCAATTTTCCGTATACATGTTTGACAATATTATAACACAAAAAACAATTCAGCTTTGTCTTTTTATATACGCTTTTTATTTTGGACGGAGCTTAAAGCATAACTTATTAACTGGGCTTTTCACTTATCATAATACAATCTTTAATATCTTAACATTAATAAATGTATACTTCAATAAAAGCTTCTTCAAAATCGAACAACCTGTAAATTGTATATTTTACCCTAAATGCATTTTGATGCGTTTCGAATAAAATTTCATATTAAAAGCGACAATTACATTATATAATTCTCAATCTTTCGCGTACATTATTGTATTAGAACAAATACTGCTCTCAATTTTCTATATACGAAGGCATTCATTAACAGAATGTTTTTTTTTTTAAAGAGAAAAAATTAAAATTATTTTCAACTTGTAAAATTTCTTTTAAATTTTGCTAATAATTTATAAATATCTAAAAAATAATTAAGAAATTAATTTCAAAAAACTACTGAAAATTATTATTTATAATTATAAAGAAAATAATTTCTTCTAAAAATTTGAAAGAATTATTTTTCAAATATCATCTAATTAAGTACTTCAATTCAAAGAATACACTAAAAAAAAAGTTATTTTAATGATCTTTCTGATTTTAATAAAATTGAAATTATTGCGTATTTTTTTAAAAACAACTAAATTAAATTTACTACTTAATAAAAAAGATATATATATATTTTTTTTTTTAGTGTAACTTTGAGAAATATATTAATAACTATTTTTTTACATATTTTTTAGAATTCTTCCAAGTAGATAATTAATTAAAAAAATGTAATTTTTGTTTTTAAATGCAAAGAAGAGATTTTAGTGCAAAATTCTAACCCATAAACCATTCAATATCATTAATAATAACAGATAATATTTAACGTGTTACATTCCAAAAATCAACACACAAGAATTTGGCTCCTATTTTCTTTTTTTTTTTAACTTTTTGCAAAATTTCTTTAAAGGAGCCCTCATGAATAATTACGTTCATATTTCACATCGATAACAGCGCCAAGCGACAGTCATAATATTTTTACAACAAAATTTCCATGTAATATGTACGTTTATCTTTCGTCTACATTTCTTTTTTTTTTATCTATTCCGAACACCTTTTACACTAATTATTATTATTATAATAATATTTATTATTACTATTATTATTATCATCTTTAATTTCAATCATTTTTTTTTCGAAGCAACATTTTTTTTCAAAGCAGCTATAAAACATCGAGTTGTCATTGAAAATAATATATTTAAAAAACTGCAAATTTCGTAAAAATGTGGAAACATTAATTAATTAATTAAATATCAAAAAATAAGATATTTGAAAAAAAAATTATTAAAAATGAAAAAAACCATTCGTAAACTAAATATCAAAATATTCATTGAAAAAAGTACCATTAAATTAAAACTAAAAAAAAATATTGAAAAAATTTTGACCAGGTGTTACTCGTCAAATGTAAACAAACATGAAAATGTACGTAATTATTGACAAATTTGCGACAGCCTTTTTTAAAATAGAAAATAAAAATTGTTCTTTCTTTATGTGAAAATGGAAAATTCATATATAAAACTACAGCCTGACACCGTATTTCATTAATAATATGAATAATATTAATAATTATAATAAAATGAAAATTACACTGAAACAACAATTTTCTCAAGGTTACGAAAAAATAACCATTTGAGTATATATCTGAGGCACGGACGTTGTGAACCTAGGTGGGAGAAAGAGTTGAGCGATTGGACGGTCACATCATGGAAAGGGTAAAATTCTGAAATTATACCCCCACCAGAGGACAGAGACTAGGTTTTTTACCTCTTTTCACATTATTTCTCCCACCTAGGTTCTCAACGTCCGTGCCTCAGATATATACTCAAATGGTTATTTTTTCGTAACCTTGAGAAAAATGTTGTTTCAGTGTAATTTTCATTTTATTATAATTTTTAATATTATTCATATTATTAATAAAAAAAAAGGTGTCAGACTGTAGTTTTATATATGAATTTTCCATTTTCACATAAAGAAAGAACAATTTTTATTTTCTATTTAAAAAAAGGCTGTCGCAAATTTGTCAATAATTACAAACATTTTCATGTTTGTTTACATTTGACAAGTTACACCTAGCCTTAAACAAAAAATTGAAAAAAAAATTTAATAGGTACCTATTAAAATATAAAGAAAAAAAGTTTAAAAATAAAATATTTATCAGGCAAATAAATTTCTTAAACAAAAATTTTGCAAATGATTTTAAAAAATTTCTCTAAGAAAATAAAAATTATATATTTAATAATATATAATATATAATATATTATATATTTCTCTAAGAAAATGAATTTAAATTTTCAAAATTTGCGTTTCCGTCTACTTTTATATGAAACAAAACACCTATTTTCAATTATTATTACATCCCTTTTTTTAATATACGCAGAGAAAAAAAAATTTTTTTCAACAAAATCTAAATAAATTTAAATTCTAATTATATATCGATGATACTCATTCGCTGTAAAGGTAAGATATGTAATAAAATCACATGTAAATATTTTTAAAAAATGTTACAAACTTATTTAAAAAAAAAAAAATAAATAAAAAAAACATTTAAGTAACTTAAAATTAAGAGATACATATATGAAACTGACTTTATAAAAGATAAGAGAAAGTATTTTATCTCTTTTCTTTTTTTTTTCTATTGAAAAAATTTTGAAATTCATAATTATAATATAATGTTTGAGATGAGATGACAGCCTAGAGGAATATTTACTATAGATGTGAAGCGATAATATCAATCGAGAAATGATATGATTAATTTATCCCAATCCATGATCTTCAAAGAATCCCTGAGGTGTTTCTTCCTGAAACAGAAAATCAAAGAAATTCTGTTCATTTAAATTCGTAAGATATAAATTATTATTTTTTGTTTCTTTTTTCTGTTTTTTGTTTAAAATATGAATAGGGATCAAGTTAATTTGACGCTGCTCATTAAATCTTAGATCGAAAAAAAATTAAGAAAATATATGAATATAAACGTACCTATATAGTTTGCAAAAAGTTATCTCTTCTCGATGCAGCTTCAAATGATGTACTGAACCCTTTTCATATAATTCATTAAAACATTGCGTTATTGACACAAATCTGCGCACAAAAAATCTGTTCGATTTTTTTTCCAAACACCTTTTGATCAGTTTTTTTTTAACATGCGATATTTTTAATTTCATACACCGAAAAAAAGTTCTTAATATTTATACATAGGTATGTATATATATATATATGATGTATTCAACGCCAAAGTGAAAGTTCATCTGCAATTGCATCTCCGATTTTTTTTTGAGCTTTTATTTTCTTTTAGTACTAATTGAGACTAACTTCCATAAATTTTTTCAAATTTTTTTAGCAAGCCGTTTTCGAGTTATGGAACTTTGAAAATTGGAGAATTTTCATGACTCTTAATTTTTGAATGCTCATAACTTCCTTAAAAATGCATCAATTTTAAAAGCCTTTTTTTCGAAATGTGTGTTTTTAAACGTACTTTACAAAAAAAAAAAAAAAATTTTCAACCATATTACTATCAAATTTTTGAGTTTTAATGATAAAAAGTCATTTTTTTCATTTGACGTCCTGATCGTTTTTTTTCAAAATTTTTTCAAAAAAACTACTTCTTATTACGAAACTTTTAAGCCTATCCCGATAATGGGCAAACGATTTTTACAATATTTTCGGAATTTTTCAAAAATTTTTGAATTTTTTAAAATATTTTTGGTTTTTTTTATACTACGTACTTTTATGTATTTTGATGCGCTGATTACGAAAATCATAGTGACAATACCCAAAAATTTGATTTTTATGGTGAAAACCATAAAAAAAGTTCCAAAATTTATAATTTTTTTCATTTCTTGCAGGTAAAATATTTAAAATTAAGAAAAAGCTTTTAAACAAAAGTTATAGATCTTATTAAAATACATTTTTTTTATCTTATGCATTTTTTTTAATTTTGCATTTTTTACCCAATAAACGAAAAAAACATAAATTTTGGGACTTTTTTATGGTTTTCACCATAAAAATCAAATTTTTGGGTATTGTCACTATGATTTTCGTAATCAGCGCAACAAAATACATATAAAAGTACGTAGTATAAAAAAAACCAAAAATATTTTTAAAAAATTCAAAAATTTTTGAAAAATTCCGAAAATATTGTAAAAATCATTTGACCATTATCGGGCTAGGCTTAAAAGTTTCGCAAAAAGAAGTATTTTTTTTGAAAAAATTTTGAAAAAAATCGATCAGGACGTCAAATGAAAAAAATGACTTTTTATCATTAAAACTCAAAAATTTGATAGTAATATGATTCAAAAAAAATTTTCGTTTTTTTTTTGCAAAGTACGTTTAAAAAAACACATATTGAAAAAGAAGACTTTCAAAATTGATGCATTTTTAAGGAAGTTATGAGCATTCAAAAATTAAAAGTCATGAAAATTCTTCAATTTTCAAAATTTCATAACTCGAAAACGGGTTGCTAAAAAAAATTTGAAAAAATTCATGGAAGCTAGTCTCAATTAGTACTAAAAGAAAATAAAAGCTCAAAAAAATCGGAGATGCAATTACAGATGGACTTACACTTTGGCGTGGAATACATCATATATATATATATATATATATATATATAGAATTTATTTTATTTTCCAACAATTTTTATTTTTAAATCAAAAAAATTTTTTTTCTATTGTTAAAATGAAAATTAATTTTTTGATTTCCATTTTTCATAATTTAATTTATTAAAACGTTGAAGATGTACGTAAAAAAATCTATTTCCCTTCATTTAAAGAGGAATAATTTAGAAAAATAATTTTGAAAATGAATTTTAATCGAAAAGGAAAAATTAAAACTAATCTTTTAATTGAATACCCTTTTTGAATTGAGAAAAAAATTCCTCTTTTTCTTATCTATATAGGTAAATATTATTTTATTAAGGGTATGTCCAACATGTGAAATGTAAACAAACATGAAATGTAAACAAACCATGCACATTTTTTCGCAGTTCTCATTTGCGTAGAAAATAAAAAATTGTCGTTTTCTTTATGAAAATGGTAAATTAATGTATTAAAGTTGGTTACTATACTTTATTTAACTAATTATATGAAGTAATAAGTATAATTATAATGAAATGAAAAGTACACTGAATTAGCAATTTTTTCAAGGTTTCGAAAAAAAAAACCATTTGAGTATATCTGAGGCACGGACGTTGAGCGCCTAGGTGGGAGAAGAATGTTGAGCCATTGGACGGTCACATCTTGGAAAGGGTAAAATTCTGAAATTTTACCCCTTCTCTCACTTTCTTCCACCTAGGTCCTCAACGTCCGTGCCTCAGATATACTCGAATGCTTAAATTTTTCGTAACCTTGAGAAAATTGTTATTTCATTGTACTTTTCATTTCATTATAATTATACTTATTTGTTCACATAATTAGTTCAATAAAGTATAGTTACCTAGTATAATATATAAATTTACCATTTTCACAAAGAAAACGACAAATTTTTATTTTCTACCCAAATGAGAAGTGCGAAAAAAATGAGAAAATTGCTAATTCAGTGTACTTTTCATTTTATTATAATTATACTTATTTGTTCAGAAAAGTTGTTAAAAGAAGTATAGTAACCTAATATAATATATCAATTTACCATTTTCACAAAGAAAGTTACAAATTTTTATTTTCTATTCAAATGAGAACTGCGAAAAAACTGTTCAAAATCTAAACAAATCATACCCATTTTTTCGCAGTTCTCATTTGAATAGAAAATAAAAATTTGTAACTTTCTTTGTGAAAATGGTAAATTGATATATTGTATTAGGTTACTATACTTCTTTTAACAACTTTTCTGAACAAATAAGTATAATTATAATAAAATGAAAAGTACACTGAATTAGCAATTTTCTCATTTTTTTCGCACTTCTCATTTGGGTAGAAAATAAAAATTTGTCGTTTTCTTTGTAAAAATGGTAAATTTATATATTAGACTAGGTAACTATACTTTATTGAACTAATTATGTGAACAAATAAGTATAATTATAATGAAATGAAAAGTACAATGAAATAACAATTTTCTCAAGGTTACGAAAAATTTAAGCATTCGAGTATATCTGAGGCACGGACGTTGAGGACCTAGGTGGGAGAAAGTGAGAGAAGGGGTAAAATTTCAGAATTTTACCCTTTCCAAGATGTGACCGTCCAATGGCTCAACATTCTTCTCCCACCTAGGCGCTCAACGTCCGTGCCTCAGATATACTCAAATGGTTTTTTTTCGAAACCTTGAAAAAATTGCTAATTCAGTGCACTTTTCATTTCATTATAATTATACTTATTTTTTCATATAATTAGTTAAATGAAGTATAGTAACCAACTTTAATACATTAATTTACCATTTTCATAAAGAAAACGACAAATTTTTATTTTCTACGCAAATGAGAACTGCGAAAAAATGTGCATGGTTTGTTTACATTTCATGTTTGTTTACATTTCACATGTTGGACTTGCCCTTAAGAAAAAAAAATGTGAAAATAATTAACGATTGATATATGTTTCTTTTATTGAGATTATTTTTTTTCGATGTAGAAAGAAAATATAGAAATGAAAGTAATTTTTAAAATAAAGTAAAATCACTTTCAAAATGATTTCCGAAAATACAAGTTTTATCTTTGTTAAAATAAGAAAATAATTTTCAAAATGAAAATATTTTCCAGAAATACACAGACACACAGGAAAAAAAGTTTTTTTCAATTGACCAAATTTTACAGTTAAGAGAATATTTAGTTACTTGAACCAAACCTTTTTTAATATAAAGAAAAACCTAATAAAAAAAAATTTTTCTTTAAAACAGAATAAAATTATTGATAATAATTTTATTCTGTTAAAAATAATCTTCAAAAATTGTGCTTTCCTGCATAATTTTAAAGATATATAAAAAAAAATTCATTTGAAAAATAAAGTTTTTTTCAATATTATTAAATTACCTTAAAAACAAAAAATATTTTAACAATCGAATAAAAACAGAAAACACCAATAGCAGTTATTTGTAAAATAATTTTTGAATACCCGAATAAGAATAATTTTCTAAAATGAATAATTTTTAATATAAATTTTTATTCTCAAAATATTTCTCATATATAAAGTTATCTCAAAAAGCATATATATGTAAAATTAAACATATAGTTCCTCCATGAGTAAACAATATCTAAACTGGGTAAATATTATTAATAAATAAATGTCACTGAAATTTAAAGATCACGGAATTATTTTATTATTGACAATATGGTTGTGTATTAAACATTAAAATTGACGTAGTCTGTTACATACAAAATATGTAGCAATATAGTTTAAAATCGAGGAAATTTTATATTTACAGAGAAATAGAATTTGTTTGTTTTGTTTTTTTTTGGTTAAAAGGCAATAAACCCACAATTGCAAACTAAGAAAAGATTTTTAAAAACGAAAAATCGTTGTTTTACCGCAAAGAGATGTCAATATTTTCAATAGTAACACAACATTGGAAAATATAATATACTTTTGAGAGTTCTTTACCGTCAACCGTAAAAATTACTTGTACGCACGAAAATGATATTTATTTACTCAACAAGTCATTAAAATTTAGAATTAAAAAAAATGTTTTTTAGATTTTTAAGTTACTTTAAGAGAAAAAGTTATAAAATTAACTTGAAAAACATTAGTATTGAGTTATATTTTTGAGGTTAGGTTGCACCAATATATCGTAAACTTAAGGCCTGAGCAGAAGAGAAACGTAACCGGAATCGTAACCGCAAACGCAACCGGAATAATAAATTGGAGAAGGACAAACAATATGTCTATCCTACTCTAACTCATTCTTCCGGTTTCGTTGCTATTCTGCTTAGGCTTTTATAGACCTAAGCACAATAGTAACGTAACTGGAATCGTAATTGCAATCGGAATTAGTAAGAGAAGAACAACAATATATATACACGGAAAAACTTTGTGCAAGAATCATTCCTAAATTTGTTCAGGAACTGAGGATATGAGAATAATTTAAGAAATCTTATTTGTATTTCCTTTGAAAAATTCTATGCAGTATTTCTATAAGAATTGTAGAGAAATTCAAGACAACTTCCTAAACTCACTACAGAAAGTCTTGAACTTGTTTTAGAATAAATTTTTACGTTTGCGAGAAAAAAAATTTACTCTGGGAGGACTCGATCCCACGTCCTCGAGAGTCCAAAAACTCCGCTTTACATCACTCAGCTACCTTAGCAGCTTATGGTATTATGCATTGGAAACGTATTTGACGCAACCAATCCCTGCCTAGTATAGTGCTTGGTTACTGTACTGTGTCTTCTAAAACAGTTCAAGAAACTTTCAACGCCCAGTGACTGAGATATTCCGATCTTCCAATGTCATAATAAAAATACAAGTATTTTCTTCAATGATTTTTGTATTTTTATGTAAATTTGGCAGAATTTTTCTCACGTTCTCAGTTTCTGAACAAATTTAGGAATGATTCTTGAACAAAGATTTTCCGTGTATGACTATCCTCTTCTAACTCATTCTTCCGTTTACGATTGCGATTACGGTTACATTTCAATTCTGCGTTGGCCTTATTTTTAGTTTTTGACACAAAATTAAGTGAAAAATGTACAGAAAAAATAGAGATAGAGTTATTAATTTAGTTATTTATAAATACAATTATTTACTTACTGCAAAAAAAAAAAAAATTTTCGAAAAATAATAAATTTTAAAAAATGGGTATTATTACCATTGCAAATTATTACCCAAGAAATTGTGGTTTTTCAATTACTCGCACTTTTTTCTTAAAATATCCCATAAAAAGCAACACTTATCTAATATATTTTTTAAAAAAAACTTTAGAAAAGCGAGATACCTTTATTGCAAACTTAGATGTATTCTCATTTTTACGATTTTAGGCTGTTTCCACAATAGCTAAATTGAATCGTCATGATTTTAAGACGAGATAATAAATTTATTTTAAGTCTTCCACAATTCCTAAAATTTTAGCTTGTAAATATTATTGAAATAAAAAAATTTCTTTTGTTAAAGAAAATAAAAATTTTTATATCCTTTCAGGTAATTTTTTTTTTATTTTTAGTGTAAATTTTTTTTTTTTCGACAATTGGCAATTAATGCGCGCGCTTCGTCTCGTTCTAAGAAAATCGTCTTCAAGACGGTGCAATTTAGCTGTTGTGGAAATAGCCTTACGAATGTTTTTCTGCTTTTTGACATAAAAGACAAATAATTTCATTCATTAAATACTGTTAATGTGTATAATAGCCCCTGGGATGGTATAATTAACCCAGTTGACGGTATTTCATTTTCAAAATAAAATTAAAATCTTTTATTTAATCAACGTTGAAACGTTATTTAAAAAAAGAATATTTTAACGAGCTTAGAGAAAATCTATCTTAAATATAATTTAGAATAGAGATAAATTTTAGTACTTTAATTTTAAAGACAGAAAAAGAGTATGAAAATGGAAGATTTCGCTCTCAATAAAAAATTACTTTATTCTAAATATAATTTTCTATATTTACGTGAAAAAAATTTTGGTCTTTAGAAAGAAAGTTTCAACGAATATCGTTTTTATGAATCCTTTCTTATTTTGAGGTTATGTGCACAGGTATTCAATATCCTTATAATAATAATAAATTTGCTTAATGCAATTCCCTAAAAGTAGAAATCCTAAACTTTAAAGACTATATTATTATAATTTTTCCTATACGCTATTAAAATATATATATATATTACTTTGTATATTATTATATGTATGTACGTTGCCTTTCAAGACATTAAAAAGTTATATTATATATATATATATTCGTACAAAAATATGGCAAAAGTTAATCCAGTCTAATAGTTTTGAAATTGGAAGTCGAAGACAAAAAATAAATAAAAGTGACTATAAAATGAGATGTGATGTATATCATTGTCCAGCTGGTGATTTTTGGCCCAAGTTGTTCGTTCTGGTTGTCACTTTTTTGATGTCGAAAATCCCACAAGAGCCCTATTTTGCTGCAGAGCAGACTAAATAAGACCTACTTCCCGTAGAGCACCATCGAGAGCCTCGTCCTTCCACAAAGAAACAAATACTAACTAATCTAGTGTGAAAATCTTTTTTTTGCCACCAAAATTAAGCCCTTTTACAATTTTAAGGGTACAGTCACGGGAAGTAGATTAGTAGATTAGCAGAATAGATTTCGGCCAATTAAAATTAAGTCTCTAGCGGAAAACGCCACTTACAGCAAGAGACTGTTTCTTAATTGGTCAACGTATGATCCACTAATCCGCACTAATCTGCTCCATGTGATTGTACCCTAATACAGTTTCTTTCCTTCAATTAACTAATTTTTTTTTTTTTTTTTTTTTAAGGACAATGATGACTTTAAAATCCCGAAGTTAGGATAATGTATTTTCAACTGTGTTGGAAACATAACCTCTCTAAGAAGAATTTAATTTACTGAAGTAATTGGAATTTAATTTTTATTTTTTATTCAATTATTATTATTGATTTATAAAATATTCACTTTAAAACAACTTTGTTAAATTTTCGAATTTCCCGCCACAAAGTTGTCGTCAACTTTAGACTTTTAACGTATGAAAGCACCTTAATAATTATTCACTTTCGATACTATTGAAACTCAATTCAATAATATCGAACGTGAATAGAAATTGATTGGTCGATTCAAGTAGAGAAATTATTTTCCAATGAGAACTATCCAATCAAGAGAAAGAGATATATAAAACATGTATATGCTTTATTTTCTTCTTAAATTAGAAACTCTCAGAGTAAATCTGAAAAAAATTTATTTTTAGAAATAATTTTAGTTCTGATGGTCGGATTTGCTAAAAGATAATTAAAATAATTTTTAAATATAAAAAATGGAAAAAAAATATATGTATCAGTTGAAGTGTGAGAAATTTTATTTTTTATATTTTGCACCATTAAAGGTTTAATTTCAATATGAAAATCAATAATTCATAACAGTAATAAACTGAAAATATCTATATTCACAGTTTGTATTATTTATGTTTCTTGAGTAATTTCTTTGGATCAGAAAATTTATTTTAATTTGTATTTAATCTTTAATTTTTAATGTAACAAATGTAACTTTTAATATTAAAAAAAAAAAATGTTTATAATAAAATTGTTCATAATTTATTAAAACAATTTTCCTTTTATTGTAAATTGTATTTTTTTTTAAATGACACTAAACTAAAATTTTTTATTTCAACCAATACGACAGGTGTATTATTTTTGTTTTTATACAAATAAAAAGTAAAAAAAAAATTGAAATTTTTTATTTATAGTTTTAAAGGCTTTAACCAATTAAATATTTCAAAGGTTATGATTCCAACAACCTTAAGGAGAAATTGAACAGAATTGAAGTAGAAAAAAGTTTCTTCTTTAAAAATAGATAGTAATTTTTTTTCTTTTTGAATAAATAAAAAAAAGTCATAGAAAAAAATTCCCAATTGTAAATTTTTCTATTGTGTACGGTTTCTCAAAAGGAACGAAACTGAAGTACGCAACATTTATGATAAACGATTTTTAAAGAAAACATTTTTTAAAATGAAAAATTCTATAATTTTTTGTCTAAAAATTTTTTTTTTATAATTTGTTGATTAATGAAAACTACACGGAAAAAAAGAAAAAGTAACTTTTACTACTTTAAAAGTAAAATTGGACCTGTCCGAAGTTTCTGCGCATCTCTGGCAACTTTTACTCCAAAAATAGTAAAATTTACTTCAGAAATAGTAAAAATTACTACGGAAACAGTAAAATTTACTACAGAAATAGTCAATTTTACTATTTTTCGAGTAAAAGTTGCCAGAGATGCGCAGAAACTTCGGACAGGTCCAATTTTACTTTTAAAGTAGTAAAAGTTACTTTTTCTTTTTTTCCGTGTAGTTTTCATTAATCAACAAATTATAAAAAAAAATTTTTTAGACAAAAAATTATAGAATTTTTCATTTTAAAAAATTATTTCTTTTGAAAATCATTTATCATAAACGTTGCCTACTTCAGCTTCGTCAAAAGAAATTCCTTTAAACAGAGAATATTATTATTTATTTGAAAATATAACTTCATCGAAAACTTTTTGGATCGTAAATTGGGTTTTTCCATTCTAGTTAAAAAAAACAAATTAAATATTTAATTTTTCTTCAAATATATGATTGTTAATATAAAAAAAAAATTTAATTTAAAAATAAAAAAAAAACCTTGTTTTTTTTATTAATCTGTCCAATTCTTCCGGTGGGATCGAAAATTATTATTGTTACAAAACGTTTCAGAAAATTCCCAATGAAATACGAAGGAATAAGGCTATCTAATTACATCTCAAAAACAATATTAATTAATTTCTTTCGTTAATTTTTCGGTAACTTAAAAAAAAAAACGTCGATAATATTTTTAAAACATTAAAAATGACGATTGTATATAAAAATAGAGAAAAAACATTCACTCTTGAAAAATAAAAATCAGTCTGAATTTCAATAAATATTTTCTAAATTACATTGTAATTATGTATTATTTTATTATTGATTTAATTTATATGCATATATTTTAAAATATAAAATCTGGTAAATTTTTCTATTCACTATTATTTTCTAATTTTTAAATATACTACCAAAAAAAAGAAAGAAATTAACTAACTAATATTTTTGTTAATTTTAATTTAATTTAATTAGTTATTTCAGCTTTATTTTTCAGTCAGTCAGTTGAGTGTAAAAATCATTTCAAATTAAGAGTGACTAATTTTTTACTTTGTTCTTTTTTTAATTATTATTATTATTATTATTATTATTATGTATAGAGAGATAGTGGTTATTATTTTTTTGTTCTAATATTATGAGTCGCTACTTAGAATTTTGCTCACTACACTAATAGCGTTACATATTAATATTAAAGAGTATAGGTTAACTTGATAAAGGTCATTTATTAAAGTCTTAAAACGTATACATATACATTGTCAACATTATATGATTATGCGCAGCAGCATTGCCATATTTTTAAAATAAATAATCCTCTTTCTATTTTATTCATTGTATTTTATACTTTCACTATCTTTTTACGATCGTAACTTATTATTATTATTTTCCATTAATTTTTAGAAAAAGAAAAGAAAATTAAAACAAAATTAACCGAGACAAAAAAATTAAAAGAAATACGTATATAATTTCATTTATGGTATACAGAAAAAAAAATTCATTTAAATATAAAATACACAGATTTATTTTATATAAATCTATATATATTAATTTTCAGTAATCTTTTTAAGATATTTTTTGTAATTCAGTTAATTATGCAATTTTTATATTTGTTATTCTTATGTTTAAGTAATGTTTGTACTTTTTTAATAATTTTAATTATATTTCAAATATTTACCTAATTTTTATATTTTATATGTAACGTTTGTACTTTTGTAATATATTTACTATTTTTTTTTTTTGTAATTTGGGTTCATATTTTATTTATCTGTGACGCGCTCTAGAAGTAACGGATCTAAGAAGCAAAAAAATATAGGTTATGTTTATGATATTTTTTTTTAATCATAAACATAACCTATAAATTTTTGCTTATTTTTATTTATTAATTTTTTTATTAATTTTAATTTCGCGTATAATATTTTTATTTAATTGAATATAAATACTTCTACTTAATTACAATTTTCATTTGATAATATTTTTTATTAAAAAAAATATTTCATATTTGTTACTTTTAATTAATTTTTTTTTAACTAAATTATTTTTACCTAATAATAATAATAATAATATTGTCCCTATAATACTTTTTTCATATATCAATAACAATATCTCAAAAGTCTTTGCACTTAATAAGTCTTTGAAATAGCAAAGCGAATATTTCGCAAAATTAAAAACTAGAACGAATGTGATAGCAAACAAAAAAGAAATTCATATTTCACGAAATAAAAATAAAAAAGAAATAGGCAAGAAAATAATTAAAAAAAAAAAAGAAATGAAAAAAATGAATGTAAAAATAAAACAAATAAAGGAAAAGAAAATTATATTAAAGATAAAAAAGAAAATTAACAAAAATAGAAAAGAAAAACGAAATGAAAAACAACTCTCATAGGCAAAATTGTTCGGAGAGTATTTTTTAAAGATCGTCTTAAAAAAACGGTGAAATTTTGATTATTTCATTATCTTTATGGAAATGCTGATACGCTAAGCAAATTTACACATTCTATTTATGTGAAGAACGATTCAAGGCAAGCGCGCGACACAAAAAAAAGTGAACAAAAACTGAGAAAAAATAAAGTTATTCTCTTGGAAGTCCTGCTTTTTTTTAACAAAAAAAAAAAATAAAATAAAAAATAAAATTACATATCGACATGCGCCTACAATATATTAATAAAAACTAAAATTGATCACAGACATGTGCACACTGATTCATGCAGACGATATAACAGATTTGTACAAAAAAAATTTTCAGAAAGAAAGTATAATTATTTATAGTTTTGTTTTTTGAACATTAGCCAAAGAATTTCAACATTTTTCTTTTCCTCTCGATTTAATTTAATTTCTTTTCTCTTTTTTCTTTTATTTTCATAAATTTTTTAAAGTTCCGAATGTTCAAATAGAAGAAATTTCTTTAATCATTTTTTCTTTTTCAATCAATTTTCCTATTTGATTGAATATTCCCAATGACTCAAGAAAAAAAAGAATTCTATTCAATAAATGAAACAAATTTTATTATCGTAAATAAAATCATTTCTTAAAAAAAAGGTGTTTTTTTTTTGTTAGAATTTTAAAGGGAATAAAATTTAATTCAAATTAATCGCAATATTATTCGATTTTCTCTATTTTATTTACATTTTTTGTTTTCGTATTTTTTAACATGAAAAAATTTATTCCACCATTTTTTACAGTCTGGCATGTAATTTAAATAAATTTTTTTAATTAAATTGAACATTCAGAGCTTCAAAAATAGTTTTTTGCAAAACTTTTCGAAATTTCATTGGCATTGTGAAACTACAATGATTATTATTATTATTATTATTATTTTCATTATTTATTTATTATTATATGCATGCTAAAACAAATAAATCTTAATTTACAAAACACTGATTCAAAGAGGATTTGTTTTAATTTGTACCATGTTAAAATTGAGGAAAAGTTACAACATTAACACAAATTTAAAAAAAAAAAAACAAAAAGGCAAAGATTTTTTCAGCGTTTTGCATGCATGTAACCTCAGGCTTTTGTTTCATTAAAAAAAATTTAATTTTTTCATCTACAATATCTTTGATTATTATGCTTCTAAACATTTTATATATTATTACTCTGAAAAAAAATATTATAGTACAAAACTCGCGCAACATTTCCAAAAACTATCTTCAATTTTACATGAAATAAAAAAAAATCTCTTTTTCTCTTATAAAATTATCTTGTAAAAAAAAAAAAATTTTTTATTTTAAAATTAATCTTTTTTGGGTATTAAAAAAAAGTCATTGAATTTCTAGAAACATTCGAAATAAAAAAAAAGAGGAAATAAATAATTATAATGAATTTTCTAGAAAACTTGTGATAAAAATTATTTTCAAAAAAAAAAAACTATTAAAACAAAATTGGCACTATTTTAAGAGAATTTGATTATAGTTGCTAACTCAACAAAAATAATATATTTAAAAATAATAGACTAATTTTTTTTTACGTCTGAATTAACAGAAACGTGATTATGCTTATGTATAAATAAAGACTGTCGCGAGTCAAATTCAGGTATACTTGAGTTTAAAATACTGAAGTAATATTATAAATTATACGAACAATATTATGTTGCGTATAATTTTTTTTCTTTTCTTTTTTTTTCTAATATACTTTCATCTCAAAGTGGATATGCTGAGTGTTTTTTTTTTGTTTTGTGTTTACGAAAGCGCAACATGCCAAAACAATTGGAATATTGAGAAAGAAGTGAAAAGATAAAAAAAAAAAACCAATATTAAGTGAGACAAATCACAATTCTATGGGTACATCGCCATGACTAACCTCCTGTAGAAGATCCTGGGCAGCAATCGCTTTCAGGACATTCTTTTTGCTAGTTTCCTGAATCTCTCCACCGACCAGCAATTCATCCAAAATGAAATACGCCTTCTCAAAGTTAAATATAATATCCAGCTCGCAAACCTGTGAAGAAAATAAAAATTATATTCCAAAAAAAAATATTTTTACAGAATTTGTACAAAAAGTTTATGAATGAGATTTTAGATTTTTAAGGTCAAATTTCAAAAAATTCCATAGAAAAATTATAAATCTTATTTTCAAATCGTATAAATTATTATATATATCTTAAAATTTCCAATGCAGTGGTTGATCTAAATACTTCTTTGTTAGATATTTAAGAAGATTCAATCCATTAAAATAACCTCAAACTAAAAAGAAGTTTATATTAATCTTTTTAACAGAACTAAAAATATAATATTTAAAATTAATTTCACCTAAATTCAAAAGATCGATATATACAATTTTCGAAAAAAATTATTTTGACTTAAAATTTGTTATTAAATAATAATTAATAAACATTTTGTCTTTTTTCTTAAAAGTTAGTGAACAATTCCAATCCTCGGATCGACTTAAAAGCACAAAAAAAAGTCGTTTTAGTCGATTTATATTCCAAAAAAAGTCGATTTTTTTTATTTTAACAAAAATATTTTACAGATTTTTAAATAAATTTTTTTTTTTAAATAATAATACTTTTGTAAGGGTTAAAGTTGAAATTTTTAGAAATAATTGAAATTCAAAAGATTTTGTTAATTTTCAGACAATAATATTAAATTTTTTCAGAACTAAAAATAATTTATCAAATAATTTTAGATAACATTTTTTAAATATGTAATTGAATTTTCAAAGATTTACAATTAAGATTTTTGAAATTAATTGAATTTCAAGTGATTTTTAATAAAAATTTTTTGATAATTTCCCAAAAAAAATTTATTAGAAATTGCGGACAAAAATACAATAATTTGAAAACCATTTTTAATTTAAAAATGGTTTCAGATAGTTGAATTTTCAAAGAATATTACAAAAATAGTTAAAAATAATTGAATTTCCTTAGAGTTATAATTGAAATTATTAAATTTCAAAAAATTTTCGATGGAAAATTTTATGAAATAATTAAATTTTAGAAGCTTTTAAATTCAAATTTTTTAAAATAATTGAATTTTAATTGAAATTTTTGGATAATAATTCAATTTTTGTTGATTTTTGATTGAAAATTTTGATAATAATTAATTTTTAATTACAATTTTTGAGTAGGGTCAGTTGGGGTAAATGGGGACAAGAGGTTTTGGTGCTTTATTTTCAGTTTTAAAATTAAGTTCAACGTTAATATTTTAACCTCAGATCATCTGCAAGAGGTTTTGAGTATTGCCAAGATTTTATCTTGACAATTGACAGCAAGATAAAAAAAGTTATCGCTCAATGCATATCAAAACTTGAAAATCAAAGTCAAACTGTTTCAGTATTTTATCGAGGATTTTAAAGAAAACAGACTTAAAAATCATACCAAATTTTTTTCTTATTCCTTGTGACTCTTATAACATAAATTCACTTGAATTTTTGATTTTTTGTCAATTTGGTTAATAATGACAAGCTGTCCCCATTTACCCTGAGTTTTCAAATTTTTGCGGTAAATGGGTAAATCATTATTAACCAAATTAACAAAAATCAAAAATTCAAGTGAATTTCTGTTATGGGAGTCATAAGGAAGAAGAAAAAAATTTGATATGATTTTTAAGTCTGCGTTTTTTTTTCAAATGCAAGACAAAATACTGAAATAAAAAAAAATAAAAAAAATTTCAATTGCTTTAACTATTATATACCTATCTACTACAAATTTTTTTCAAGTTTTTTCATCCCTTAATACAGTAATATATACTTAAGGAAACTTTTTTTCTTAAAACTTTCTTAGAAACTATGCTGTCCCCATTTACCCCAAATTTTATGAATTTTTCTAAATTTTTGGGGTAAATGGGGACAGTTTCATGCGTTTAAAGCTTATCTAAATTTTTTTCTGTTACATAAAATTAATCCTGGGAACGTAAATAACAACTTAAAAACTTACGGAATTTTTTGAAAAATAGCGATTTTGTCCCCATTTACCCCAACTGACCCTTAATTGAATTTTAGTTGATTTTGAATTGAAAATTTTTGAGTATAATTGAATTTTAGTTGATTTTAAATTGAAAATTCGGAAATAATTAAATTTTATTTGATTTTAAATTAAAAATTTGGAAAATAATTGGATTTTCTTTGATTTTGAATTGAAATTTTGGAAAATAATTGAATTTCAATTGAAATTTTGGGTAATAATTGAATTTTAGTTGATTTTGAATTGAAATTTTTGAAAATAATTGGATTTTATTTAATTTTGAATTAATTTATGGTTTTGAATTAATTTATGGTTTTGAATTAAAAATTTTTTAGTAATTTTATTTGATATTTTTTTAAAATTATAAACAATTGTTTAATTTCATAAAAATTTTAATTGAGAAATAATTTGAAATAATTTAATTTGTAATGAATTTCATTAAAATTATTAAAAATAATTAATTTAGTGAAGAATTTTAGTTAAAAATTTGTTAAATAATTGAAATAAAGAAGATTTGCATTTTATACAAAAAAAATATATTTTATTTAAAATTTTTTTTTGAAAATGTAAAAAAAACTCGAAATAGTCGCTTTTTATTGAAATAAGTCGAAAAAAGTCGTATTTTTGAAAAAAAAGTTGGAAATAGTCGATAAAGTCGTATAATCCGAGGCCTGCAATTCTAATTTTTATCCAATTTTTATAAACAATGGCTAATTTTTTTCTTTGAAAGATTATCTACAATTCTGATTTTGTATTTTTTTTAAATAATGGTTTGTATTTTTTTAAACTTTTCTTTATTTTAAAGTTTACGAAGCTGAAGTACGCAACGTTTATGATAAAGGATTTTTTAAGAAATAATTTTTTAAAATAAAAATTCTATAAGTTTTTGCCTAAAAAAATATTTTTTTATAATTTGTTGATTAATGAAAACTACAAGAAATATTTTTGAGGAAAAAAAAATTATAGAAATTATGAAAAACATTAAAAATTTCAACTTTTTTCATAATTTCTATTAATTCTTTATTGTTAATTTTAAATCAATAATCAATAATCAATTTGTTGTATAGAGTTGGAAAAATTTCAATTTTCTTCCAAAAATAAAAAACAGAACTTAAAATAAAAAAAAAAAATTTGAATTTCTCTCACAATTTTCATTATATTTTATCGCCAATTTTTTAAAATGCTTTTTTTATCATTCTGATCAATCAAGGATATTAAAATTTTTTAATTTTTCAGAAAATAAAATTTCTAAAAAAAAAATACAAATTTTTTTAAAACAAAAATTAATTCTTAATTCATTTTTTCATGATGCATTATGATTTTAGGTTCATAAAAAAGTAGTAAAAAATTGCCAACTCTACATAATGTAAATTTTAACTAATTAATACGTTAATTAATTAATTAATTTCACTGGTAATACTTTTAAACTTTAAATTCTTATAATAATTTTTTTGTATTTTTCAACAACAATTTTTTTTACACTTTTCTTATGATTTTAAACAATCAATTGTATGGATTTAAAAAAAATTTAATTTTTTCAAAAAAATAAAAATTTTAAGGTCAAAATTTTTTTGTTTTTTATTTTCATAAATTTAAAAATATTTTAGATTCTAAATAATGCTAGAACAACGAAAATTTCTATGTGTTAAAATTTCAGTGATGCCTTCCCTAAAGATTAATAATAAAATTTAAAAAAAAAATGGAATGAATTGTAATTAAATTACTCACACTTCCAAAATATTTATCCAATAGTTCTACGTAACGATGAATTATTTCCAAAGTCAATAATTCGTTATCGTTTTGTTCAATTGCACAGCAAAAGTATAGACTAGCGTATCTAGAGAAAAATATATTTAAATTTTAATAAAAATTGATTAAAATTAATATTTATCAATAATAATTGTAATATAACAAATTTTTTTAAATAATACAAAATCAATATGAGCCAAAAGTTTTTTTTTAATGTTCAAATAAACGATATTTCTTTTGCAACTTCTTTAAGTACAAATTTTATCACAAAATATTCTTTTAAATATTTCAAAAGAAATTATTAATTTAAAAATTGTTTAATTTACTGTTTTATTTTACATTGGCATCATAATTTAACTTTATTTTTTTTATAGATTGAAAAAAAAACGTTCAGAACTTTTGGCTCATAAATCAATTTTTTTGAATATTCAACTATATCTTAAGATCCTAGATAAAAAAAAAAAAATAATTTTAATCGCCTATTTAAAAAGCAATTTCTCTAATCTAAAAGGTTCATTATTATATCATCAATAAAAAAAAAATATTAAAACTCAAATTAAATTTTTGCAGGAAACGTAAAATCTATGATACACTGAGATATATTATTTTTAAAAAATCAATATTGCACAGAAATAACAAGAAAATAAAAAAATACAAGAATTATAATAAAATTTCTTTAATTCTTTAAAAAAATTGAATTTAAAAAAATATATTTTCCATATATAGTATATGAAAAATTTCTTTATATTTTTAAACCTATTAATTTAATTTTTGGTTATGTTAATAGATTAATTAAATAATTCTCACCTTTTGTAAACGACCTTGACATCCTTCCACTCTAGGAAACTCGACATCTTTGGTTTTCTTGCTAGAATTGTCGTTATCAATTCACGAGTAATTTTTTTCTTCAATTTGTCAGGATGCGCGACATACCACTTTTGTAAACGCAATTTTCCCTGACGACTAAACAATAACATAAATTGCATCTGAAAGCAACAATTCAATTAATATTTTTAATTCATACAATGTACTTACACCAGAGAAATAAAAGAATAATTATGACTAATACTGTACTCACCATTTTGAATGTGTACTATTTTTGTTGAATAATGAAATTATCAATTATAAAAATTAAAAATATAGATTAAAAACAACTTGGAAACACCTTTATTTAAACTTTTTTTTCACAATAGCACCATGTATATAGAATAGAATTATAATTAAAAAAAAAAGAATCACAAAATATGACAATTCCACGTACACCCACACATAACAATAGGTTAGGTTGGGTTAGGTATACACATGGGTACACACCTTATGATAAAGTGAAACGTCCGATATGTGACAATTGGAGGACTTATTTAAAAAAATAATATTTTTATTATTTATAAAAAATAATATATTGTTTATATATTTTTATATTTTCTTAATATCTAATGTTTATTTTCTTTGTATAGCTTTGTAACATAGGCCTCGGACTTATTTCTGTTTCTTTCCATGTGTTAGACAAAGACAGGTATCGAGATATTTCGAGTTCAAGATATGACGACAGAGGCCTGGAGGGACAAGGACAACAAACAGACGACACAATCCTAGTTATTCTTATGGGGAAGAAGATTAGTTTCCACTTTTATCAATTTTATTCATATTTTAAACATGGAAAACGCTTTTTAACATATAATAAAATGAAAATGTGTGTTGATAATTAATTTTGTTATACATTTGATTCAATTGCATTGATAGATTCTCTGAATTCGTGATAAAATATAAATTTTGAGGTTAGGGATGTTTGTTTACTAACTTGAAATCTTTTACTGCTGCGGTGATTCCCACTTAAAATTAAAAAATTATTAACTTCTTATTTAATTAAATATAAATAATTTTAGTCAAATAATCTGTTTTTCATAAAAATATAAGAAAACATCTAAAATTGATTAAAATTGTCTTGAACGCTTGTTTAAAATTGTTATTTATTTTTTATTAAAAGTTAAATGTTCTTTTTTTTTTTTTAATCCTAAAAAATAATTCTACACATTACTCAGAGCTGTGAGGAAAGCAGTCAGGACTTCGAGCGAAGAATTTATCGGTCAAAAAAAAATTTATTAATTTATTATAAAAATAGAAATTATTAAATTACGTCGATACAATTTTTATTTTTATATAAATTAATAAATTTTTTTTTTTGACCGATAAGCCTACACTGCAAAAAGAAGTATCTTATTTTAAGATGTTTTGGTAGCATTTAGAAAACATCTTAAAATAAGATACTTCTTTTTGCAGTGTATTATAAATCTTATTTATGTATTTTAATATTTATATTCTCACAAAAATTTAGCATTTGAGGAAACTATAAAAAGTAAAACTAATTGTAAAATAATATCGTCACGCTTTAAGTATTTTCAAATCTTATTCTCAAATTCAAGACAATATAAACACTCTTCTATGAAAAGTCATAAATTAAGTAAAATAGCAAAAGGAAATATGATTCCAACTTTTCTTTAATCCCAGCTAGGAAATATAAACCCTTAAAGGTCATAAAAAAAATCTACTTGAAAAAATTGTGGATCCCTTTCTCTACAGGACACTAAACATATGTTGACCAGATACAGATGTAGACTCATCGAGAAAAGTCACGTATTGGTCAAACAAAAGATAAACTATTTTTGTAAAGAAATATTTTATCCCAACAAAAATATCTTCAATTCAAGAAAATTACGCCAAGCAAAAATTATTTTAACCATCGAAACAAATTCGTGAAATGAAAGTTAGCCAATTTTTTAGGATAGACCTTCTGATGCTGATGATCATTCTGTCCTCTTCCAACTCATGCGTCATTGTATGCACTAGATAAGGACAGAATGATCAGCATGAAAAGGTCTATTATGTTAAGTTTTAATTAATTTTTTTAATATAAATAATTACATTTAAAAATGGGAAATTATACAAATTATAATTTTAAATCATGCGTGCAATGTAGAAGAAAAAGAATAGTTTTGATCTAAATATGAAATAGAGTTAATAATTATTAAAATAATTAATTGAAATCAATTGTTTGATTAAAGAAAATTTCTATCGTAGGCGTAGTTATGAAAACTTGGTGTGACTTATTTTTTTACTTATAATACTGCAAGTGAATTAACGAAAAATTAATGAAGGATATAAATATTGAAAAATAAAAATTATTTAAAAATAATTCACGCTATAAGTTTTCATAACTGTGGCTACGTTAGAAATTTTTCTTAATCAAAAAATTGATTTCAATTAATTATTTTGATAATTATTACCTCTATTTCATATTTAGACCAAAACTATTTTTTTTTCTACATTGCACGCATATTTTAAAATTATTTTTTTGTATAATTTTCCATTTTGCTTCCTCGTGGAGGAAGCTTTGTAGTCCTTTCGTTTGTAAAAATTTTCAAAGTGTCGGAAACAAATTTTTCTCTATATAGAAACATGTTATATGAGATCCTGATCAATTGTCCGGATGTATGTGTGTGTGTGTGTGGATCCCTTTTTTGTTTAGAAGATAACTTTAACAGGTTTTAATGGATTTAGATAAAATTTGGTAGGCTCATTTATCATATTAATATTTCAAATCTGACCAAAGGATTTTAAAAAATACCAAAAAAAAAATTTTATCGTCTTTTTTCAAAAAATTTTTTTTAATCGTATAAATTATATATTATTTTTCATTAATATTTAGAAATTTCGGTTAAAATATGAATTTTTGATTTTTTAACTTCCATTAATTCTTTAAATTTTACTCAAATGTATAGGTACTCTAATGTTTATATTATTATATTATTTTTGTATGTTTATTTCAATGTTAATGCTTTCTCCACGAGGAAGATCGTAAAGAGGAAGCAAAATGTTCATGTAATGAACATCTGAATTTACAACTTGTTTAAGTTTAATTATTTATAATAAAAAAATTATTTAAAACTTAACCTAATCCTAAAATTTACCAAGCTATAACTTTCATTTCACGAATTGTTTCGATGGTTAAGATAATTTTTGCTTGGGCGTAACTTTTTGTATCGAATATGCTTTTGTTGGGATTTCAAAATTTTTTGTAATTATCATATTCCCACATAGCACGGCTTCTTGCTGTGAGGTTAATGTAAGGATATCTGTAGGGTTTGTAACGTTACCTCAAGTAAACTTGAGGTTATCTTAAAACTTCCGCCATTATAGTAAGCTTACACAGTAAGGTCGTGGTAAGTTCACATGGTAAGGTGGTGGTAAGCTTACACGGTAAGGTTTGTTGTGAGCTTCTCGTAAGGTTACTGTAAGGTTGCTACAAGGTTACTGTAAACATAGAATGTTATTAATAAATAAATTTTATTAATATTTATGCGCATTAGTTTTCTATGGCACATACGGCTGCGCAGTAAATTTTATTTAAGAAACCCTATTGGGGTTCATGAAGTACTTTACCAAATATATAATATTTTATGAAAAAAAAGTATAATATATATATATATAATATATAATTCTTTTTAAACATATTTTTATATTACTCGATCTATGTTTACAGTGACCTTACAGCAACCTTAAAGGAACCTTACGGGAAGCTTACATCAACCTTACCGTGTAAGCTTACCACAACTTTTCCATGTAAACTTACCACGACCTTACCGTGTATGCTTACTGTAATGGCGGAAGTTAATCTATATTTTTATGAATTTTAGAAAAAAATTGAAAATTTCTATAATTTTTGAGTTTATTGAAATTCCCTGAAATATATTTCACCACAGAAATTTTTTTTTTTTTTTTTTGCATTCTTACCCGGCAAAAAAGGTTTGAACGAAATCGGTAAAGAACTTTTCGAGATATCCAATTTTGGTCGAAAATTGCCAATATTTTGAGAAAGTATATTCGCGGATTTCTTTTTTACTTGGCGTCGATTCTCTACCGTGAATGTATATGCTTGGAAACAGCATAGAATAAGAAAATAGAAAAGAGCATGCGCAAAGAAGCTATACAAAGGACTCAGAGCTGAACGCATCTCTACTGTACTTGTACTTTATGCTTTACGTCAGATCTTATCTTGCCTTTGACATGTCGAGTTCGTATACCAAGTCAACCTTTGTATTTGTCTAATTTTAATATAAATAAAAGTTTCGTTTTTAATCTAGAAGTCGAAACAATTAATGATTGGTTAATTAGTTATTTAATTATTATTGTTCGTCTTCAAGAGGATTTACCCGCCGTTCTAATGGAATTTAATTGTATTTTATTTAAACTTTTCCCGCGAATAAAAAAGTGGAACTTTGCGCTTGCGTAATTAACTACATAAATTACTCCGTTCGTTTTATCAAAAGGGGAAGTGAGGGGAAAAGCAAAGAAAATTGCTGAATCGCCTTAAAGTTGGAAAAGGACATAAATACAGGTTTGTTCATTTTATATTATTTGACAACACTTTCGCGAATTTTTGTGTCAATCTAACCTCGATTTTCTTTTTTATTTTATTTGTTTGCATAAAAAAAACAAATTTATTACACTATAAACAGTGTAAAGATGTAACGATTAAAATTTCTTATTTTTATATCGAAAATATTTGAAACGCTTTAAAATAATTCGTAATATCTAACTTTACTTCTTGGTAAGTAACTGAAATTCTTGATTATTTTATATAAAAAAAAAGTGATAAAATTTTTCACATTTCTTATATACTATATATTACTTAAAATTTTTTACCGTATAATATAAATATTTGTATTAAATATGGGTAATTCTTACGAAATATTCTTTTTTGTTATTTAGAAACAAAAATAAAGAATGAAAAATTAATTGAGAGCCTCAAAACATTGAATTGAATTATAATTATTCAGCTTTAGAAAGTCTAAACCGTTTGTAACAGCTTCAATTTTTGGACGATGATGAAGTACGCGCAACTTTTATGATAAACAATTTTTAAAGAAATTATTTTTTAGAATAAAAAATTCTATAGAGTAAGAATTTCTGAAACGTGCCACCTAAACCTGAAAAAATTTATTTTTTGTTAAAATGTTATTTTTCTTATAGTATTTTATATGCACAATCACCCCTTAAAACGATTTTGCAAAAAAAAAAATTTTGTTGTTGTTATTAACAATTTAATATTTTTGACCCTTTTTTTAAAAAAATTAATTTCAAAGAAATTTATTGATCGATTTTAGTGATCTAAACGGCATTCTTCTTGTCTTGAACCATAGTTTTATTGATATTTTTTTGGTGCAAAAATATTGATTTTTATTGCAAAAAAAAAATTGTTTATTTATAAACAAATAGTAAAAAACCATGAAAACAATCGAATTTCAAAATGAAAAAAATAGCTTCATATACTTAAAACCCTTCTGAATAATATTCCGTCGAGAAAAAAAATGGCACGCATTCGACAATTGGTTTATTTAAACATTTTTGACAGCGCGCATGTAGTACGTAGTGAGTGACAAGCGCCGCGCTACGTTCCGCTAGAACTCTAATGTAGGTATTCTATTCTACAAAGTCTGTGGAAAAATTAAAATTATAATTAAATTATAATTTTCAAATGTTGTTTTAAAAAAAATGTTTCAAATTTGAGTTTACATATTATTATTAATTTTATTATTGGGTAAGACTCCGTCAGAAATATCACGATTTGCAAGGGGTCTTTGAATTGTCTATAATTTTGTAAAATTGTAGTATTGGATATAAGAAATGGAAGTCCCAAAGGATTTTTGAAAATAATCAAAATTGTAAATTTTGAAAAATTGAATTTTGCCTTATTGAAATTTTTGACAATTATTTTTTAAACATTATAATATTTCTGAAACAAATAATTGGATCTTAATAAAATTTTAATTGTTCAAAAAAACATATCTTTTCGAAGTGTTATATAGTCGAAAAAAAATTTGAAATTTTATCCAAAAAAAGTCGAAATTTTTTTTAATCGTTGTTATACTTGAACGGGGCCGATTTTTGAGTTTCAAGTAAAATATTGCTTATAATTTCACCTTTATTTTTGCAACTAAAATTAGACTAAAATCATTGTAAAAATATGCATCAAAAAACAATAAATTCAGCTAAAATGTTTATAAGTTTTTATTATACTTATTGTTAATAATAATAATAGTAATATGTAAACTCAAATTTGAAACATTTTTTTTAAAACAACATTTGAAAATTATAATTTAATTATAATTTTAATTTTTCCACAGACTTTGTAGAATAGAATACCTACATTAGAGTTCTAGCGGAACGTAGCGCGGCGCTTGTCACTCACTACGTACTACATGCGCGCTGTCAAAAATGTTTAAATAAACCAATTGTCGAATGCGTGCCATTTTTTTTCTCGACGGAATATTATTCAGAAGGGTTTTAAGTATATGAAGCTATTTTTTTCATTTTGAAATTCGATTGTTTTCATGGTTTTTTACTATTTGTTTATAAATAAACAATTTTTTTTTTGCAATAAAAATCAATATTTTTGCACCAAAAAAATATCAATAAAACTATGGTTCAAGACAAGAAGAATGCCGTTTAGATCACTAAAATCGATCAATAAATTTCTTTGAAATTAATTTTTTTAAAAAAAGGGTCAAAAATATTAAATTGTTAATAACAACAACAAAAATTTTTTTTTTGCAAAATCGTTTTAAGGGGTGATTGTGCATATAAAATACTATAAGAAAAATAACATTTTAACAAAAAATAAATTTTTTCAGGTTTAGGTGGCACGTTTCAGAAATTCTTACTCTATAATTTATTGCCTAAAAAATATTTTTTTTTTGTAGTTTTTATTAATCAAATAAATTATATAAAAAAGTATTTTTTTGTAGGTAAACATTTTTGTAATTTTCCGTATTAAATAAAAATTGATTTCTAATTGTTGATCATAAACGTTGCGTACTTGAGCATCGTAAATTGGCCGCAGGTTGTTTTTTTTTTTTTTAATTGACTTTAACTTTTCCGGTAACTAAAATTAGTTAATAATTATTAGTATCTTAAAAAGTTTGTACATTTTAAGGTAGTATTACACTTTTCAAGCAGTAAAAAACGGGTTTAGAAAAAAAAATTTTTTTGTCCTACCTGCACGGAAAGTGTGTTATTTCGTGCACTTGAGGCGGTCGCAAAGTAAGTGATTCCCGCCCAGAGATGGGGTGAGCGGGCGCAAAGTACATTCGCGCCCGCTGACGTCATAGATGCGGGCGCAAAGTACATTCGCGCCCGCTGACGTCATAGAAGCGAGCGCAAAATACATTCGCGCCCGCTGACGTCATAGAAGCGGGCGCAAAATACATTCGCGCCCGCACCATTAAAAAATGTATTGTTTTCATTTTTTGTGACATAATAAACATACGTAATATACGTAAACAACTACATGTAATTTACCTTAAGTATATTATCTTCCCAACCCTGATGGAACATTGAAACAAGCGGACTTGCATGCACTCAATAATACACTTTCCATGCAGACAGGACAAAAAATGTTGTTCGCAGCACGGGCGCAAAAGGTGATAGTGTCTCAGGCGAGATTATGAAGAAACCTCGGCGACCCTACGCACCCTCGGCTTCGCCTCGGGCGCTTCGGGTCCCCTTGGTTTCTCTAATCTCGCCTTCGCCACAATCACCTATTTTGCGCCCTTGATACGAAAATAACTATTCTCGCTTCTTAATTTATTTAAAGGAACAAATTTTTTTTTATAACATTATATGGCATTAAAACTTTTATAATAAATAAAATAAAAATTTTTTATTATCTCTCTTTGGTCACTAGAGAGCCTTAAAGTCAAGGCAAAAAAAAAATTTGGGCAATCGGCGGACAGGCTACAGTCTCTCAGGGACATCGGATCTGAAAAAACAAAAAACCGTTTTGAAGCTGAGACATGTCATTAAGCATCCCCCCTAACCCCGATAAAAAATATTGAAAATTAACGAAATGGCAGCGATTTAAAAAAAAAATGTCAAAAATTAGGTCTTTTTTGGTTAGTTTTTGGATTGTAGCTAAAATCCAAAAAGAAATAGATAATTGGATTTAGGGGGGATGCTTAAAGAATTTAATTACGAAAAAATGATATTTTTTTCAAAAAAATTGGTTCATTAGAACTCGAGTTATGCTGTCCGCCAGTTTCAAAAACAACGTTTCGAGAAAAACTCGATTAAACATTTATCTTCCGAAAGCAAACAATTTTGTCAGAGTTTGACACTGGCTTTTTACACTTTAAATCTATAAAAAAAATTTTGGAATGCCAAAAAATACTCTTTCGAATGGTGTATACAAAAATTGTTGAAAATTTTAAATAAACAAATGACACTTGTTTTTTTAAACAAAATACATAAATTTTTGCACTGAGCGCAAAAGTGCATTGCGCTACATTTTGTTGTGTAACTTTTTTATTTTTTCAAATTTTGATCTGGAAATTGAGGATTACCCTCCTAAGATGATTTGGAACACGAAAATGCAAAAAAAAAAAATCGATTTTTTGGTCGGTATAAAGTGTAATACTACCTTAAAGAGACTTACCAGAATAAAAAGATTTTTCAAAATTATTTAGAAATTCTGTTAAATAAAAATTACTTCGAATAGAAATTTTCTTTAATAATAAAAGTTGTGTTAAATAAGAATTTTATTAAAATAATAGCAATTAAGTTGAATGTGAATTCGGTTAATAAAAATATTGTCAAGAGTAAAAATTTGAATGAAAAAAACCAGTATGTGTTAAATTAAAATTTTTTGTGATAAACGATTTTTAAATGAAATAATTTTTTAAAATGAAAAATTCCATAAATTTTTGCCTAAAAAATACTTTTTTAATATTTATTGATTAATAAAAACTACAAGAAATATTTTTTAAGCGAAAAACAATTTCCTCGAATTTTTCATTTTAAACAATTATTTCTTTAAAAATCGTTTATCATAAACGTTGCGTACTTCAGTTTCGTCATATATTCTGTTAAATGGAAATTTTATTATTTGAAAATTTAATGTATCAGAAAATCTGCTGTACAAAAATTCAGTTAAATAAAAATTCCACGCGAAAAGAAAGTAAATATATAAATATTTCTAAAAGTACGTATATTTTCAAATTTTGTAAAATTATTTTCAAGTCGTGCAAAATAATGGTAAAAAGCCGGGATGGCATTTTTTCGGTTTCTGTATTGCGGTTTGGGTTTTTAATGTCAAAAAAATTTCGGTTTCGATTTTTCGATTGTTTTCCTCTAGTAATAATATGAATAAAAATATTTATGAATTCGAATTATTTAGAACAAAATAAATGTATTATAATTACTCATAATTTATTTATAAATTTATATTATAAGTATGAACATTAAAACTCTTAATAATTAAACAAAATGTAAAATTTTCAAAACAGAAATAATTATTTTTTGAAATTTTATATTAAATTTTTTCAGCAAATAATTTATTTTCACAATTAAGCTCGCAATTAAGAAAAATCCTTTTCCATAGACTTCCGGAAATTTAAGATTTCAATTTTTTTATAAATTCTTTGTTGTGAAGAATTGTAAGAAATTAAAATATTTTTTATTAAATTTTCTTCGATTTGTTCTACTTGAATATTAAAAACCGAAAAAAAAACAGAAAAAATAAAATTTAGATTTCAAAATAACGGTTTTTAAATTTTTATAATAAGGGTTTTGGTTTTTGGTTTCATAAAAATTTACGAAACTGAAGTACGCAACGTTTATGATAAACAATTTTTACAGAAATAATTTTTTAAAATGAAAAATTCTATAATTTTTTGTCTAAAAATTTTTTTTTTTTATAATTTGTTGATGATTAATTAAAAATACAAAAAATATTTTTTACGCAAAAAATTATAGAATTTTTCATTTTAAAAAATTATTTTTTTAAAAATCGTTTATCATAAACGTTGCGTACTTTAGTTTCGTAAAAATTTCTGTTTTTTTTTTGGATTATCGGTTTCGGTTGCCATCTCTGGTAAAAAGCAAAATTTCCTTATAAGAAATATTAATCGTTAATAAACTTTCAAAAAATTTACAATAATTAATATTAAAATTTAGTGAAACTTATATATTTAATTCATTACTAAATGATATACTAAAATTTTATTAAAATAAACTTTTTAATTTTCATAAAATTAATTAAAATAATTCGACAATTTCAGATACTGTTCTGCAAAATTGAAACGTGCAAAATGTCCAACAATTTCTATCCAAATAGTTGTTACATATGTAAAAAGACAACATCATTAAAAAGATGTAGTCGTTGTAACATGATATCATATTGCGGTGAAATACATCAAAAAGAACATTGGGATATACACAAGGATTTATGTCGAATAATTACAAATTTAACGAAACAAAAGAAATTAACTCATCTTTATGAAAATTTACGTGATAGCAATTCATTAACATGGTTAAATTCACGTGAAGAAATGTGGAAGAAAATATCATCAATGTTGGGACGTGATCTTAAAAGTTTTGAAAAACATATGTTTCAATTTCCACGTTCATGTTTTGTTTGTTACGACACAAGACAAAATAATTTAATAAATTGTCCCAATTGTCCATTGGCGTCATTTTGTAAGCAACATCCACGTTCAATAATTCACGATGAATTATGTGGTGAAATGAATTTTTGTCACACAATTGACAATCAATTGGAATATTATCAAGAAACATTGACAAATTTAATTGGAATACTATTCTCTCCGCCGAGTTTGAAAAAAATGCCAACATCAACAAGCGAATATTTCGATCGAATTTTAAAACCATATCCAGAATTAAATAATGAAGCGAAAATTTATGCCTCAACATTCATCTATTTGCCATTGACTATTTTTGGAGCTCTTGAAAAATTAAATAAAACATCATCCACAACATTGGTAATTTATGTTGATGTAATTGATAAAATTAATATTTTTTCATTATTCTGTGAAATTTTAATGCATTTAATGCCAAATTTAGAGAATCTCATGGTAATCACAATAAGTGGGAAAGTATCATGTGATGAGGTAACACTTTGTAAAAAATGCATTTCAAAAAAGAGAAAAGCAACACTTCAACAATTCACTATGCAATCAATGAGTAAATTTAATTATAATTTTGTCAATCTCGCAATATTTAACAGTTTGGATCCACCAGATATTAATGATCATCGATTTAAAGTATTCATTCAATATCGTTTTGTTTGGAATAATTTTCACTGTCCTTTAGTTTTAACATCACATACGGAAATTTATGCTCATCGTACCAAAAATCATTATGAATTATTTTGTCCTAATCGTGGCATTATTTACAATGGTATCAATAATTTTGCGGGTTTATGTCCCTTTAGAATTTGGCAAGATTGGCGTATTGGAAGACAATCTCAATTTATGTTAATTGCCAATGCAATAGAAGATAGTTCAAGTACATCGAATACAATGACAGAGAATTTACCATTAATGGAAAACATACAGCCAAATGCAGAGCAAATTTTTAAGAAATTTAATCCTGGCACATGTCATGTGTGTAAATATCATAATACGACAATATCATGTACACGTTGTAAAATGATTTTTTACTGTTGCAAAGATCATATGAAAATGAATCAATTGGATCATAAGACGATGTGTAAAGTGATTTTGGGATTTTTAAATGAAAAAGAAACGCCGCATCTTTTTGATAAAATGAAAATTGATAATGATGAGAAATGGTTGGAGGCAAAGGTGAATTTTATGAAACAAGCAAAATTGAAATTAAATCGTGATTTATTGAATTTTGAGAAGCAAATGTTTCTATTTCCAAAGACATGCTTTGTTTGCCATGAAAGCGATTTGAGTGTTCTCAAAACATGCCTTTGTAGTGTAAGTATTATTTTTTCATTTTCTTTAACAATTAATAGTTTAATTATAATTGGGTTAGCCCACTGACTTTCGTCTAATAGTGGTTGCGACCAAATTTTAAAAAAATCTAGTTTTAATATATGTGAAACTCGATGAGTTCATTAACCATAATATTATGGTAAAAATTTTATTCCTTTTGAAAATATTAAATATCAAAAGTAGGAGGTTCACAATGTGATTTTGTAACCTTTAATTTTTCAATTTTTTTAAAAACACTATTATTAAAAAACTATTAAAAATTAGATGTTGGAACTCACCAAAAACATAAATCACTTTATTCTGAACAGAGGAACGAAAGAATTATTGCAAAAATTTATTATTTTTGGATGATATACGATTTTAAAAAAAATTTTATTTAAATATTCTCAAGATTTTTATTTACTTATAACTTTTTTGTCGGTGCTCCGAAAAAATTGAGGTTTTGCACAAAGATTTTTTAAAATATTCTTTACCTTCTATTAAAATCTTACGAGGGTGTTTTGCTTCGTTTTGGAGATATTAATTTTCAAAAAATTTTATTTAAAAAGGTTAATTAAAAGACTTGAAGTTAACTAACCAGATTCAAACTGCTCCATTTTTTATAAAAATATATTAAAATGTAGCAATTTGAAATTGGTCAGTTAACCTCAAGTCTTTTAATTAACCTTTATAAATCAAAAATTTTGAAAATTAATATCTCCAAAACGAAGCAAAACACCTTCGTAAGATTTTAAAGGAAGGTAAAGAATATTATAAAAAATCTTTGTGCAAAACCTCAATTTTTTCGGAGCACCGACAAAAAAGTTATAAGTAAATAAAAATCTTGAGAATATTTAAATAAAATTTTTTTTAAAATCGTATATCATCCAAAAATAATAAATTTTTGCAATAATTCTTTCGTTCCTCTGTGCAGAATAAAGTGATTTATGTTTTTGGTGAGTTCCAACATCTAATTTTTAATAGTTTTTTAATAATAGCGTTTTTAAAAAAATTGAAAAATTTAAGGTTACAAAATCACATTGTGAACCTCCTACTTTTGATATTTAATATTTTTTAAGGGAATAAAATTTTTACCATAATATTATGGTTAATGAACTCAGGGAATCATCGAGTTTCACATATATATTAAAACTAGATTTTTTTAAAATTTGGTCGCAACCATACTATTAGACGAAAGTCAGTGGACTGACCCAATTATAATTTATAATTTTTAGGCACTTTTTTCATTCTTACATTAAATTTACAAAAAATATTAATTTAAAAAATTTCTGTATTTTTATGAATTTTGCAAATTAATATTTCCGTTTAAAGGAAAATAAAAGAATTCGACACTTTCACAACAATTAAATCAAACCAAAATCAACTCGTACCAAAAGTTTCACGTTCTTTTTTCGTCTAGTTAATTTTTTTTTAAAATGTTTTTTTGTATTTTTTTTACAAAAATTCTGTTAATAAATATATTTTTTGTGAATTCATTAAATTAAATTTAAATTTCTTTCTTCTGTATTTTTTTTCAAACTTTGTACAGAAGAAAAAAAAATTAAAAAAAAAAAACAAATTTCACAGTTTTATCTGTTAAAATCGTAATACATACTGCATGCAATTTTTTTTTAATTTGTTGAATAAAAATATAAATTATATATTTTTAAAATATTTTTTAAATAATTGCATACGGTATGTATTACGGTTTTAACAGATAAAATCGCTTGAATTATGTTAAAATTTTGTATTAATTCTTTTGAAATATAATTTTTAACATTTTTTTTTGTCACCTATTTTCGAAAAATAATTTACCTTTTTACCTACTTTAAGTAAAAAAAAGTACTATTTATGGCATACTTTTTTTACTTAAAGTATAGGTAAAAAAGGTAAATTATTTTCCGAAAATAGGTGACAAAAAAATGTTAAAAATTATATTTCAAAAAAATTAATACAAAATTTTAGCATAATTCTTTTTATTTTTTTCCCTGCTTAAATAATTTCTAAAAGTATTAATTTTTTTAAATTCGACTACAACGACTTTGGTAGAAAAAATAAAACAGTCAAATCCTATTTTTTTTTTTTTTTTTTATTATCAGGGTGTCTAACAACTGCTAGAAAAAAAATTCCCTGACTTTTCACTGACTTTTCCCTGACCTAAATTACACTGAAAAAATTTTATTTTGATCAAATAAAATTTATTTTGACACAATTAAATCCATTTACCTATCTATTATCCACTAATTTCATTTGTATTTGAACCAAATAAATAATGTTTCGTAAAAAATAAAATATTTAAGTGAAATAAATAAACTAATTGGGGACGTAAAAATATTCTCAATATTTAATTTAAAAAAAATTTTTACGGCGTCAAATCTTAAATTATGAAATTTTTATTTAGTAAAATTATATAAAGCAGATTTTCTACTACATCGAATTTCAAATTAATACAATTTCAATTTAACGGAATTTATTATGTCAAAGAAAAATTGCAAAAAAAAAATTTTTTTAACAGAATTGTTATTTTAGTAAATTTTAATTTATCAAAATATTTACTTCATAGAATTGTCATTAAATAAATCCACAATTAACAGAATTTCTATTTAACAAAATTCTTAATTAACAAAATTTTTAGTAAAGATAATTTTAATTCGAACTAATTCTTATTTAACAGAATTCTCATTTAAGAAAAATTCTACTTAGTTCTTTTTTTGTCAATTTTTATAGACACAAAATTTCGTTAAATTTGAAATTATATTAATTTAAAATTTTCAAAAAGTATTAGAAAAAATGCATTATAAGAGTTCTGCTAAATAGAAAATCTTTTTAATCGAATTTTATAGTAAATTCTTCGGTATGAAAATTTTATATAATATAAAATCCACTTTATACAATTTTGCATTTAAATAGAAATTCGATAATTTAAGATTCGACGACGTAAAAATTTTTATAAATTAAATGTGGATATTAGCATTAAATAATAAATTATTCGTATTAATGAATAATTTACTTTATTTGAAGTTGAACCGATAAAATAAAATGTTATCAAATAATTTTTATTTATATTAAAAAAACCAAATATTTCACTGAAAAAAAATTAATTGTTATCTAAGTTTAAAAAATTATTTATTGGATTCAATAAATAGTAGTAAATAATTATTTACTTAATGAATATAAGATATATCACATGCTTAATAATTGAGTGTGAAGGACAAATTTTTAATTTGCATTTGCTTTGGTAAAAAAGTAAAAAATTATTGAAACTAATAGTTATTTTAATTTATTCATAAAAAAAAATTCCAGAAAATTAAAGAAATTACCTGACTTTCCCCTGACCGTTAGACACCATGATTATAATTTCTATTACATTAAAAAAAAAAAATATAATGTTTTTGTTCTCTTTAAAAATTTATAGGTAAGTCTGTGCAAGCTTCATCGAGATGACGCCGAACATAAAAATCTCTGCAAGGATTTCCAATTAAATATAAAATTAGAGACCAGCAACGAAAAGCCAGATGAGCCATTCACAACTGCAGCTTCATTGAAAAAAAAGAAGAAAAAAATTCTACCATCATCAATGGATAAATTTATTGATTTATATTTTCTTTTAAAAAGTCATCACGAAGAAATGCAAAAATTTATTGTCTCTGATTTATTGACACGGCCATTGACATTTATTTATGCTGTTGAAAAATTGAAAATACACATTCCAAAAACAATTTCTATTCACATTGTGGGAGCAACTGGAGAGGAATTTGATCATGTGGGCTATTGGCAAACTCTTTTCTATTGGTTCAATAGTTTACATGTTTTGCTCATTGATTTCATTGGCAATGAACTTGTCGAATATGATCAACTTATTTTCAAAAGTCCATTTAAATTACCTGATTTTTATCTAGACGGAAGACAATTGAGTTTAAATTCATTTAAGGGACGTTACGATGAATTTGTAAAGAGTGAAGAATTCTCTGAACCTGATATAATTATTGGTTACAATTTGAATATTCACGAGAGTAATTATGGAATTTCCGAGAACACCTGGCAAGAAACGCTCTCAACTATTAGTAAAATGAATGTTCCATTTATAATGACTGCACCGTCCGCGAAACGTGGGATAAAAGATCATGAAATGCTTTGCTCACTATTGAATAAAACAATTAATTACGAATTTGCGATAGAAAATCCTTACGCAAGTTTAGTGCCAGATCGAGACTTCGAAACAGAAAGATTGTGTTATTCGAATAATTATGTGATTGCTTACAAGGATTTTAGTGAAGCAAATGAAAGTTTAAAGAATGAATTAGTAAATCTTAAAATTGAAAATTAAAAAATTTACTAATTATCTCCGATCAATTTGAATTTATTTTTTTTTACTAATTAAGAAAATTTACTAATTATCTACAATCTTAATTTTTTTACCAATTAAGAAAATTTATTACATTATCAAAACTTAAAAGTATTAAAAACATTTTTTTTGTTTGTTATTTTTCAAACAAATTTTGTTTATTTTGTTCTGTTTATATTAAAAAAGTTTTGAGTATTATATATGTATAATAAAAAATGAAAATTGTTCAATAAACTTAATTTCTTTTGCAAGAATTTTGTTTTATTTCTCTAATTCAAAATTTCGTATATAATTCATAAAAAAAATAACATGTTTAGAATCGTTTTCGCAACATAAGGTAAATTAAAAATTAAAAGTAGCAAATTTTCATTTCAATCAAATTTTTACCAAGTTGACGTCTATCAAATTCACAATGTTTATTATCAATGATTTGGAAGACAAAAAATAATTTTATATACAAATTATTGTACTGTTTTGTCTAAATAACATTTTTGAAACGTTTTTATTTTTATCAACAATTTTTAAAAGGAAAATTTGTAGGCAAAATATTAATTATTTTCCGAATAAAAAATATGTTTTTTTTTCCAAACGTTATTCATACACTAAGCATTAATGTTGTTAACTTCATTCACATCTAAATGGAGAATAAAAGTCATTTTATTCTTTTCTATAATTAAATTGAATACAAAATTTTAACTGTCGAGTTAAAAATAATAATAATTTTATTAAATATAATTACTTTTTAGACGAATTTTAATATTTTTAAAATTTTTTATTGTGATATAACATTTATTTTTAATTCTCAATCAACAGAATTTTAAGTTATTTTAATTGTTAAAAATGTCAAAACTTTCAATTCACCGAAAAAAAAAATTCTCATAAAATGAGAATTGTACTAAATTAAAATTTGGTTAAATTGAAATTTTTTTTTTTAAATACAAAGTTGAATAAAGAGAAATTTTGTCAAAAATTCGGTACATAGAAAATCTGTTAAACAAATCCATTCATTAAAATTCATGTAAAAAGAAATTACATTAAATTCAATTTTGAAAAATGAAAATTCGTTCAAAAAATAATTATATCTAATAAAAAAAAAATTCTTTAAAATTTACAATTCTATAACCATTGACAATAAAATGTATACAAATAATACGCTAATAAACATTCAATACAAAATAAACAAAAACTACCTTATACATGTAATTTATGATGCATTCTTATAATTAACAATTTTCATCTAAAACATGAAATGCCTCAGAAAATCGACGCAATTGAAATACACTTAGATAACTGCAAATATTATCTAAAATTTCACTGGGAAGATGAATTTGAAGGCTCTTTCGAACAAGACAATAAAATAATTCTTTACACGAAACACTGTATTTACTTCTAATAATAACTTCATTAACTCGCCTCTTAAAAAATTCCTCATACATTTGAAAATTTTTGAAATTTTCCAAATTTTTCATTAATTTTTTATTTGCAACACAAAATTCCAATTTATAAAGAGGTTTCGTCAAAAAGTCATAATACATCATTTCTGATTCATTAGGTAAAACTTTGGTTTTTTTCATTATTTCAATTTCTTCTTGGCAACATTTATTCCATTCTTCAAGTTGAAATGTGTTAATAAATTTCACGTGTATTTCTTCATCAATATTGAAATTTTCAGAAATTGATTTTAAAAAAACTATTCGTGAAATTAATATTTTTCTTGTTGATTTAATTATATAAAATTCGCCTTGACGCAAATATTCTTCTAATAGTAATTTTTGAAATTCAATAAGTGTCGCAAGTTTTTGAATATGTATCATCAATGACATGAATACATAATTTTCACAATATAAACATTGAATTTTTAATTTAAATTTATTATGAAAATCACAATTAATAAGCATATCAATTAAATGGGCCGATGTTTTTTCTTTTATCGCAAGTTCTATGTATGATAAAATTGTTAAATCCAAATATTTTATTGGACAATAATTGAGAATATGTTGGAGAATTTGAATTTTCTGCAAATTTGTCCATAACTTTTGATGAATTAAAAATTCTATAGAATTTTTTATTTTTATTTTCCCTATTGGATCGGCACCAGCTGCCAATAAAATTCGAACAATTTTGGAATTTCCATTAGTCAAAGCAATACTAAACACAATGTTATACAAATTTGTTTGTGAATTAACATCAATATTAGATTCAATTAAAAATTTAATTAATTTCCAACTACCCATTTCAACAGCAACAATTAATGGTATTTGTGTGCCAAAATAATTTTCCATTGAATGACCAGCCTTTAAAAGTAGTATCAAAATATCATCTTTCACTAGTTTTGCATTTATGTAACATTTTTTATTTTTGGCTCCATACTTTAAAAGTTCTATCACCATTTCGGTGTTTCCTTTACAAATGGCACACGAAAGTGGACTTTCATTTTTTTCTTTGGTGAAAATATTAACTTCAGCCCCATTTGCTAATAAATATTTCAATATTTCCAAATTTCCTTTCTTAACCACCTTGTGAAGAAAAAATAAATCTGAACAGTTTTCTGATTCATTTTCAATTAAACATTTAAAAATTTCCAAAGAATTATTCTCCAAAGCTAAGTCCAAAGGTGTTTTATAAAGCTGATTTTTATCATTAATCTTGCCGTAACCATGATCAATCATTAATTTGACAATTTTTACATTTTTACCTTGTACTGCATAATGTAGTGGAGTCATGTTCAAACCGTTTTGTTTAAAATCATTATTTTGATTTTCACTTTTAAGAAATTCATTAACTTCATTTATATTATTTTTTTTAATAGCCGATATAAGGGTCAATATCTCGGGTTGGCTAATTTTTCTAGCTGGACGTTCAACTAGTTTAGCTCTTTTAAATGAAGGTGTCCTCTTTCTTTTCGTATCTGACATTTTATACTGTTTAAAATAAAAAGAAACTGTTATTATATATATAAATATATTTATAAAAACAGGGTGGCTAGCCAACCGGGAGAAAGCAGGGAATGAAAAATTAATCCGGGAAATTTTATGGGTTTTGTGATTCGCGCAATTATTCGAAAATTGTTCAACTTTTAACTATTTAAAATTTTGTGTTAATTATGTAAAATATATGAGCAATTCCACGTGAGATTGAAGGGTCTATCCTTAGATTCCTACTATACTACGTCTAATCTAATTCTGTGTCAAAAAAAGAATATTAAGTATTACTAAAAATCGAAAATTATATAATAATAAAATGCTTGGTCTGTCCTTCTGTCCTAACTTGAAGTTGGCCTTTTCTGATTTCACGTGTTTTTTTCAATAGTAATCTTATGACGTGTCAAATTTTGACAATTCTTTTTCTCATTTTTGCCAAAGTTGTATAATTGTGTTTCCAAATTTCGAAATAAGTTTCTTTAAAATTCCAAATTCGAAAATTCAATTCACGAAGCTCAAGTACACAACGTTTATCAACGAAATTTTTTTTTAAAGTTGTTTGTTGATTCAAAAATTGTATACAAATACAAAAAATTTATGATGAGAAAAAAGATGCGCCAGAAAATTTCGTACAAGATAGTAATTTGAAAAAAATTTATTTTTAAAAATGAATTTTTAAGGTACCAGGGGCCAACGAATACCTATTAAATATTAATTATAAAAACACAGGCCTCGAATCAACTTAAAGACACAAAAAATCGTTTCAGTCGATTTATATTCCAAAAAAAAGTGGATTTGTTTTTTATTTTAACAAAAATATTTTACAGATTTTTAAATAAAATTTTTTTTTTAATAATAATCCTTTTCGAAGGGTTAAAGTTGAAATTTGTAGAAATAATTAAATTTCAAAAGATATTGTTAATTTTCAAACAATTATTAAATTTTACAGAACTAAAAATAATTTATCAAACAATTTTTGGAAAACATTTTTTAAATTTAATTGAATTTTCAAAGATTTAAAATTGAGATTTTTGAAATTAATTGAAACTTTAAGTGTATTGTAATTAAAATTTAAAATGATTTCACTAAAAATTACTAAATTACTAAAAAAATACAATAATTTAAAAATCATTTTTAATTGAAAAATGGTTTCAGATAGTTGAATTTTCAAAGAATATTATTAAAATAGTTAAAAATAATTGAATTTCCTTAGAGTTATAATTGAAATTATTAAATTTCAAAAAAAAAATTTTTGATGGAAAATTTTATAAATAATTAAATTTTAGATGCTTTTAAATTCAAATTATTGAAAATTCAATTACATAATTCATTTTGAATTGAAAATTTTGGGAAATAATTGAATTTTAATTGAAATTTTGGATAATAATTTAATTTAAGTTCATTTTTGATTGAAAATTTGGATAATTAATTTTGAATAGAAGTTTTAGAAAATAATTGAATTTTATTTCATTTTAAATTGAAAACTTGGTAAATACTAATTAAATTTTAAATTGAAGATTTTGGATAATTATTGGATTTTTAATTTAATTGCAGATTCAATTAAATCAATATTTTTTTTCAAATCTCACTTCAGTAAAAGGAAAATTAAAATAAACGTATTTTCGTATTTCAAAAATTAATGACAGACGATGAGCCAAAAGTTTTGAATGTTCAAAAGTAACAAAAATTTTTTTCGTACGAATTTTATTACAAAATATTGTTTTTATTTAAACGTTCAAAACTTTTGGCTCATGACAGACACACCAATTATGAAAAAATAAAATTCTGTTTCATTATTATTATTATTACTCAATCAAAAATTGTTGCAAATCTTAATTTTATTGAAAGAATATTGTATTAATTTAGAATTGGATTCAATTGAATTTATATCATTTATTAATTTCGTTTCGTGTAATACTTTAGTTAAAAGTAAATTAAGAAAAATAAATATTATACCACACAAAATTGATTAAAAACAAAAAAATACACTAATAATCAATTCTGAATTTTAAATATTATCCTTATTGCAAATTATATAGTAAGTGAAAAATTTGTCATTCGATTAACTGATTCTCATCGCGAACAAACGGTAATTTGAATAATAGTTTTCATGGAAAATAATAAAATTCTTTCCCTCTATAAAATTTTCTTTCAAAAAAAAAAAAAATATATATATATAGTAATAATTTTCATGATCGCATCTGGGAAAAAAGTGGTTACGACAAAAAAAAAAGGTTTTCATTTTTCAAGAAAAACGCGTTTAAAATATAATCAACGTACTTTTTTTTAATCAAATCGCCAAAAAAAGGGTAAAACACTCTTTTTCAGAGACGCGTATAGTCCACATGTGCATAATAAATAATAATAAAAAATCAACTTACATTCTATGAAAATCACAATTTAAACAAAAATAATAAGCACAAGCAGCACAGCAAACACAATATAGTAATTGAAAATAAAAAGACGAAGTGAAATAAAAAATGATTTTTACAAACAATTATAAAAGAAGCCGGTATAACAAATGTCAAAGATGGGCAACATAAATGTTTACATTCGATCGTAGCGCTATTTCTGGTGAACAGTTTTAGAATTAGAATGCTTATAAGTAACTGTGACATTGGATGATTGTAACAGTGTTTGCTCTATATATATATCTATAGTGTCTGGACTGTCTGGTCCAAATGACAGGTTTTCATCATTTTCATCAAAAAGTATTCTTCTTGGTTTTCATTTCTCGAAAAGAAATTTTTTGAAACAAAGGTAAAAGATTTGTAAATTTTATTTTATTAAAATGTTATAAAACTGTGTTATATATACCATTTTAAATAAGAGAATTAGCCATATAATTCGAAAGTTTTAAATCGGAGAGTTAGATTTGAAATTACTCTTTTCAATGTCGAATTGAAGAAATTTATTGAGAGAAGAAAATTTTAAATTAAGTATATATACCCAGGAAATAAAAATTTATTCATTTGTTTTGAATTGGTCGAGAGCTTGAGTGAATCCGCATTCTTAAAAGGAAATTTCCGTTTCTTCAAATCATTTTATTTTTTCAAGTTTTTTTTTATTTAATAATAGTATATATTGATCGAAAATGATATGTAGTTTTTTTGAGTTTAAAATGCATTATAAAGTCTAACATATAATTTATTTAATAAGTGACTCAAGTATTTACAATATTTCTAAATTATGTGCGAAATATGACAACCTAACCTTAAAATTTTCAATCTTATTCATAATCGTCAAAGTAGATTCGCAGTAAATTTAGGTCGGTGAAGTTCTCAACGTTTATGATCAACGAATCAACGATTGAAAAGAAAAAATATTTTTCTATACAAATTATTATTATTTTTGATCTACAAAATTTTTTTTATCGTTTCTTGATCAAGAATTTTTCGAAAAAAAATTTGTGGGCAAAAAATTAGTTATTATTTTTTGATTGGAAAATATATTTTTTTTTCAATCGTTGATCATAAACGTTGTGAACTTCACCGATGTGTAAATTTCTGTGACGCATGAATATTCTCTTCATTAGACTTGACGAAATTTTTGTAGTGTCAAATTAAAAATTATCGAATTTACATTTAGTAGAATTTAAAAAAAAGAGGATTAAAAGGAGCCAAATTTTAATGTCGAAAAATTACTATTTAAAAAAAATTGTGATTTTATAGAATTTCTATTTAACTGGACTGTGATAAAGGTGATTTTCTAATATATCGAATTTTCAAATAATACAATTTCCATTTAACAAAATTCATATCTAGAAAAATGTTCATAAAAAAGAATTTTTATTTATTACTTATTAGAATTATTCTTTTGTCGAATTTCTATTTATCCGAATATTCACTTAAAAGTATTTTTATTAAGGGCATCCAGGAGAAAATAATGGTTTTGTAGATTTGTTCTCATTTGAAAAAGATAGAATATTTTAGGTTGTAATTTTTTGGAAATAACAGAGGAAGGTACTTCTCGGAATTTTGCATAATCTTGATAAATAATTATTGAAAAAAATGTTTAAACATTAGCAAAAAGGGGTTTCGTAAATTTCTTCTCATCTTTAAAGGATAAAGTATTTCGAGTTGGCATTTGGAGGAATAATAGAGGAAGGATCACTGAGTGGGGCTCTTCTCCATTTTTGCAAAAATATTGTATAATTTGGGGTAAGTTAGTTCAGCAGCGGCCACTAGCTAGAATTGGCGCCACATAGATTCAATGTCTGTCCCCACTTCTGTCAAAAATCCAACTTTTATAACCACAAAATTACTTGTAAAAATGGAGATGATGATATAGATCGGACGGTGAAGCACCTTGGCTTGCGATCACTGAGGTTAAGCACACCTGAGTACGGTTAGTACTTGGATGGGTGACCGCCTCGGTGCTCGCTATAGCCCTGGTGTTTTCACTGTGATCGAGATATATCAAGCGGGAGGTTTGACGCCGAGGATGTGTTTGTATATTTGTGATGATTATTATCCAAATATACATTCACAACTCGATTGTCAATAAACCGGCTGTGCGCGGGAGAGGTTTTCTGTAGTTTTCCTCTCCCCTGGCCAAAAGTCCAGGCAAATGCGAGTGCTTCTAATAAAAGTCGGTCTACAGCCGCAATTTTAAGAGTTTGTTGAGTTCAAAGAGTTAAATAAAAGTTGTGAGCAAATTGTAAAGAGCCCTAAGGGGTATACAATGAAATCAATTTAATTAATTACTTGTAAAAATGGAGATGATTCTTAAGGTATTAGTCGCGTAAAATCATTTTCGTCAGATATTTTTTAAATTTTGCAAGAGTGTTTCTGACATAATTATCTACAAAATAAGACCAATCCCATCGATTTTGACCGTTCCTAAGCTTTAAAATATCATTTCAAAGTTGATACTTTTTACATGGACGGAGCACCTAATGCATGGAAGGAATTTGCTTTATAATTATTTAAATGAAAACCAGTCGTCAGATTTTAAAATAAAACTACCACATAATACATTCTCATGAAACGAATGCCTACAAAAAAACTGAAATTTTTTGACCGTACCAAACTATAAATATATTAGGAGAAAGTTAACAAAATTTTAAATTATATGAAGTACCACTGCTGGAAAGCAGTAAACTTGGCAACGCTGTAGCGCGCGAATGCATACAAAATTCAAAATCATGCAAAGTACACAGTTAGAAAGTAGGAATATCTCATAGAGTAGAATAAAAAAATAATATATTTAAAATTTCACAACATAGATTAGTATTAAATAATTCTCAATTTTTTAAATTAAATCATATATTTTAAGAAAAATAAGAATGAGAAACGTTAAATTGGTTGGTTATATTTCAACAGTTAAGAAATAAAAACATTTTTTGATGAAATATTTATTTTTTACTTTATAAACCAATTTATAATACATTATTGATGTAAATATTAATTATAAATAATTAAAAATTAGTTTTCAAAGAAGCATACTTGAATTTTTTTTAATAATATTCACATCTTTAATTATTAATTATTCTTAGTAAGTCTCATACTTTTAAAAAGTTTAAGCATTTATATAGATAATTATTAATCATAAATAATTCAAAAATAGCTTTTAAAGAAGCATATTTGAATTTTTTTTAATAATATTCAGATTGCGACGTTGCCGCGATCAAAACTTTAGTTCCACACGTGCGAGAACGCGGCGCTCTGAGTGGAAGTTACCTGTACCCTTCAAAAAGTTTGACTCAGAACTATACCTCTTGCTAAGCACAGACTGAGTCAGACTCAAGACAAACTTTTGGTTAGAGCCGGCGCGCGACTAATACCTTAATCAGCGAGCCCTCATCTAATTAATCCGAACAAAATATTTCAAGTTATTTTAGAGTAATATCTGGCAAGGGAATATACTTTTAGGTTAGGGATTTTTCCCGAATGGCCTTAAATGACAATTCTACTAAATAAAAATTAGATTGTATAAAATTTTTTTGAATAACTCTTTTGTTACATAAGAATTTTGTTATATAGAAATTTTTTTAGTTGGAAATTCTATTAATAAAAATACTTTTAAGTGAATATTCGGATAAATAGAAATTCGACAACAAAATAATTCTGATAAATAAAAATTCTTTTTTATGAACAATTTTCTAGATATGAATTTTGTTAAATGGAAATTGTATTATTTGAAAATTCGATATATTAGAAAATCACCTTTATCCACAGTTCAGTTAAATAGAAATTCTATAAAATCACAATTTTTTTAAATAGTAATTTTTCGACATTAAAATTTGGCTACTTATAAAATCTCTTTTTTAAAATTCAACTAAATGTAAATTCGATAATTTTTAATTTGACACTACAAAAATTCCGTCAAGTCTAATGAAGGGAATATTCATGCGTCCCAAATTTCTTATTACAATGGGAAATTTTTTTTGAAAATATTGAAATAGATATAAATTTTAAGTTTCTTTCACAACTCGATAATTTCTTTCTTCAATAATTATTATTATTATAATTATATATGTTTCAGAGTGTGTTGCAGAAAATAAATAAAATATGAATAATGAAATTGAGAACATAGCCAGTTCAATAACACAAGTTGCCAATTCTGTAAATCCATCTGACTGTGGATTCTACAAAATATCAATCTCCACAAAACACGTCATCAAAATATGTAAAGATGTTATTGATGCTCTAAAAGATTTCGATGTAAAAATATTTAATACTGATTTAAGTACATTGGTACTTGTAACACTCCTTCAAATAGAAGCAAAAATATCTTGTTTTAGCTATAATGAAAAAACAAATCTTCGAGCATTGAGAACAAAAGATGATCTTAAAGAGGCAATATTTCCTTTAGCATTCTATATTGCACAAATTGGAAAATTTGAAATTGATGAACAATATTTTGAGCCAGAAATTATTGATTTAAAATATGATAATGTATCAAATTATGTCATGGATTTGGGTTTATCATTAGAAATTCCTTCTGATGTTATTTTTTTAAATAAAGGAAATTATTTGACTAATTTTAAGCAATGGGTGCGTGTTTTAAATGAAACGAGAGCATTGGAAAGTGGAATTATCTTTCGTAATGGCAATTGTTTAAATTTAACAGAAGAATTTATTGAAAATTCCGATAACTTCAATTGGATTGGCATTTTAAGCTTTGAACCAGCTCAAGAAATAATTCCCAAGTATCGTGAATTATGTGAGAGATATAAAAATTTTTCACATAGAGTTGAAACAATTGCAGCATACATTTTTGAACGTGTGGACTATGAGCAAGCAAAGGGCACAGCAATGCAATTGGTCACATCAGAATTTGAAGACAGTGATTCAACATTGTTGCGATTGTGGAGTAATCGTCTCGTTGATGACAATACACTTAAAATAGGAGGGCAACTTCGTTATGGTTTTCAACTAGAATATCGTGCTTTGAGAATTTATGATGCAAGATATTGTGAAACATTCATCGATGCTCCAGATTCGGATCGTCATTTTGTGTTTTCTATTAGAACACATTTGGCGAACATTTGTAGACGGTAATGTATATTATTCGAGATATATTTCCGGGCATTTCACGGGAAATTTTTTTTGCCCGAAACATTTTTTTCGAAATCTATAATGAAAAATAAGAAAATACGTAGTTTTTAATTTTTTTTATTCAGGGATGTGTCCGGAAACAGAACTTCGGTTTCATTCGAAAGTCATGAAGTATTTAGTTTTGTCCCTGGGCACAGAACGAAAGTCGATGGGACATTTGAATGATAACAATTATTTTTAAACTTTTATAAATTAATGAAAATAAAATAATTTAATAAAAAAAAATAAAGGAAAAATAATAAAAATGAAATAAATAAAAAAAATATTATCTATGAGGAAGCATAATGTTTGTGAAATGAATATTGACTTTTTTTACAAAGAATTTTTATAATTTTATAAATTACATGCCTCAAATCAACATAAGGCGCAAAAAAAAGTCGTTTTAATCGATTTACATTTCAAAAAAGTCGATTTTTTTATTTTAATTAAATTTAATTAGTTAATAATTTTTTACTTTAAATAATTAATGTTTTTAGTTATTATATCTATTTTATTATTTCCTTAATAAGAATAATTCTATAGGAATATTATCAATAGAAAATTTATTTAAAATATTTCAGAATCGAAGACGTAAATTTTCAAAATTTTAATTAAGTAAATTTCTTAAAAAAAAATTCTGACAACAATTCAATTTTAGAGTTTTTATTTGATACATTTTTTAATAATTGTTCGAATGAACAAAATATTTTTTTCGATCCATAAATTATTAAAATTTATAATGTCAATGTTAAATAAAACAGTAAATTAAACAATTATTAAATTAATAACTTCTTTTTAGATACTTAAAACAATATTTTGTAATTAAATTTCAAAAGATTTTGTTAAATTTCATACAATAATTTAATTTTACAGAATTGAAAATTTATTTTAGATAACATTTTTCAAAAGTAATTGAATTTACAAAGATTTACAAATTAAAATTTTTAAAATTAATTGTACTTGAAGTGATTTTTAATTGAAATGTTTTTTGTGATTTCTGTTGATGAAGAATTTATTATTAATTACAGACAAAAATTGAATTTCAAAAATTTTGAATTGAAAAATGCCTTCAAATAATTGAATTTTCGAAGAATATTATAAAACTCATTAAATTGCAAAAAGTTTTAGATGGAAAATTTTAAAAATAATTAAATTTTAAAAGGTTTTAAATTGAAATTTTTGTTAAATTTATTTGCTGATTTTTCTTTTAAATTATAAACAATTGTTGAATTTTATAAAAATTTTTAATTAAAAAATAATTTAAGATAAAATTGAGTTTGTGAGGAATTTCATTAAAATTATTGAAAATAATAATGAACATAGACTTATTTTACAATGATTAAAATTTTAATTAATAGAGAAATTTTAATTCCGATTAAAATTTAGATAGTTTAAAGTCTAGATCGATTAAAAATTTGAATAAATATTTAATATGAATTAAAATTAGAATAAATTTATTTTTTTTTCTGTTTGTGAAAAAAATAATATATTTTTGAGCAAATTGTGTTTTATCAAACAATTTTTGTGGCATAAAAATAATTGAATTTTATTTTTTATTTTCATATATATATATATATATAACTTTGATACAATGTACAATAAAAAAAAATCTTATTTATCTTTTCTACTAAGGTTAGAAAAGTTATATTTTTTAAACAGTGAAAAAAACTTGAATTTTATTTAAAAATTTTAAACATTGAGAAGAAAAAAAAATCTCGAAATTATCTAATTTCTCGAATTATAAATTGTTAAATTAAATTTTGTTTCAGAAATCTTGATTTGAATACTTTATACACACCATTTCAAATAATACCACTTAGTTCTCGAGTACCAAGGCAAGAACTTTACATTTCAACAATTTATATTATCGACATATGTAAAGCGTTAATCAATAAGCTTGAAGAGAGTTATAAAGTAAAAATATTGGATACTGATTTAAGTACCTTAGTACTCGTGACTCTACTTCAAATTGAAACAAAACTCTGGATAGCTTGGAAGTTGTACGGTGGTTATTCCAATGGTTTTGATGAATTAGATTATAAAAGATTGAAGGAAACAGAAGTCAAATTGAAAGAGGCAATATTTCCATTATCATTCTATATTGCACAAATTGGAAAAGTAGAAATTGATGGACAAATAATAGTACCAACAATCATGGATTTAAGATACGATAACATAACAAATTATACTAAGGATTTGGGTATATCATCGTTAAAGGATATTCTTCCTGAAATTATTCTCCTTTCAGAAGGTATTCTCACTGATAAAAAACAATGGTGTATTGTTGATGAAGCAAAAGCACTGAAAAATGGAATCGTTGAGCAATTAGGCGATAATATTCGATTTACAAATAAATTTCTTGCAAATCCAAATAATTTCAATTGGATTGGTTGCGTTTATTTTCGACCATATCAGGAGGTCGTGCCAAAATATCAAAAATTACTTGATCGTTATGGTAATTTTATGAAAAGAGTCAATCAAAGAATGATGAATGCATTTGTTAATGTGGATTATAAAAATGCAAATGGCACAGTGGCGCAGCTTGTTACTTCAAAATTTAAAGAAAAGGACTCTGAAATTATGTCATTGTGGAGTCATCGTACGGTTAATTTGGCTTTTCTTAAAATTGGTGGCTTACTTCGTTATGGTTTTAAATTAGAAAATTATGGTAGTTTACGATCATACAATGATAGATGCTGCGAAGGATTCGTCGATGCTGCAAATGTATTTCGTAGATTTATCTTTTCAATTGATACACATGTGAAATCGTTGACTAATTACGAATACTTATTCAATCTTGACGAATAACAAGTTAATGCTTTAAAATTTCGAAATAAAATTTCATTTTTTACATTAGCATATATATTTACAATTAAATTTTGTTTTCTTTAACTAATACATGTATTTTAAAAATCAAGAAATTGTGATTATTTTCTTAATTTATAAACATATAAATGTAAAAATACATTTTTAATATATATTGTAACGCTTTCATCGGAAAAGACTATTGTTCTAATTCAAAAAATAAATATTTATTTATTCTACTCAATTTTTTTTTTTTTTTAATTTCATGAACATTATTTAATTATTTTCAAACTTAAGTGATTGAAAAACTACAAACAATATCTATGATTGAGTAAAAATATAATTTAATAAATGTTACCTAACAACTATTTTTAATTATTATTATTATTTATTAATTATTTATAATCATATTTTATATAAATTTATAGACATTAAAATATATCAAATTTAATTTTATGAAATTGTTTTTTCAAGAGTTTCTTTTAAATAGTTCAAATACTTCAAATTTGCATTATCTCATTTTTTAACGTACGATTTAAAAGAAAAAAAAATGTTTTGTTTTTTGAAATTTACACTCAAAATTCGTTTATAAAAATAGAACCTTATCGAATTTCCAAAAAAAAAAAAACATTTTAATAAAATAAATTTTTTTGGAACGACATCATAATTACTTTATTTAAAAAAATTAATCGCGTAAAGTAATAATTAACAATTAAACATAATAATAATAATAATTTAATTATATAATAATTTAGTTTTTAAAAAGTGTAATGAAAAATATTTTTAATATAATAGTTTCTATTTTAAATAACTGGTGAAATTTTCAAAATTGATAATAATGTAATTTTTCATAATCAGAATTTGAAAAACCTATTCTGCAAAATATAAATATTATATTTATTTAATTAAATTAACACTATTCCTAATAAATTGGATCATTGGATAAAAAAATAAACAATTTTTTTTTTATAGAAAATTATAATTTTATCTTTACTTTTTTGTACAAAAGTATAAAAATAAATTTCACGAATATTCGAAAACAGTAGATTTTTTTTCACATTTGACATAGATATTTTTAGTAATTATTTCTTTTAACGTCGTATCTCAAAAATTTGAAGGCAAAAACATTTTTTAAATCTCAGGGAAAAATACATTTCAATTTTTCCGCGATAACGTATTATAAGTTTAATAGACTTTGGTTTTTTTTTTTCAAATAACTTAAATAAGTCAAATTTTAATAACATTTATGTTTAAATTATATAATAAACACGTTAAATAGAAAAACGGTAGACATTTTTTTTTACTTCATGTATAGTACGTTTTAAGGAACGCAAACACAACACTTATGCAAACAGCGTTGAAATAACAAGAAAATTTAATTTTTCGAATTGTCAAAAAAATAAATAAAATAAAATAAAGAATCAATCTTTAAATTATTTAATAAACACGTTAAATAAAAAGACAATAAACTTTTTTTTTGCTTCATGTATAGTACGTTTTAAGGAACGCAAACACAACAGCTTATGCAAACTAGCGTTGAAAAAAAAAATTTCAACTTTTCGAAAAAAAAAAGAATCAATCTTTAGAGTATATAGAAACGAAATGAATTTCTTAATACAATCGATTAAGAAAGAACACACATTTCGCCATCAATAAAATGGTGTCTTCTTCTTTTTGGATTTCCTCGCATTTGAACTGAACCTTTTGCGACATCTTCATCGCTAGATCCATCAGACTCATCATCTAAATTTGTCCTCTTCCTCTTTAATCCTCGTTTAACATTCAATCTCAAATATCGGCAATAATTTGGAAATAATTTACGACAATTTCCCTTATCAATTGCAGAAGCAATATTTTTATTCTTCATATAATCAATTAATTTTGTATCATTCGCCAATAAAAAATCATAATAATTCACATCATCGGCAATTTTATTTTTCTTCAATTTTTTCAATTCATTTTTACATCTCGTATAATATGGTTTAACAAATGTTGTTTGAAGAAATTTTACATTTTGCTCACAATTTCTTATGCCAAGTGCTTCCAATCTAACAAGTTCACGTGTCAAAAGTTGTGACACCATTCGAAATGGATTTGGATCTTTAAAAATAGTATAACCCTCATCGTTATTATGATTTTTTTTATATTGCCACAAATTAAATGTATATGTATTGTGAGTGAGATTGTATATTTTTCTATTTTCATATTGTCGTTTACGATATTCTTCACGTTCCTTTCGTCGATTTTCCGCTTCTTGTTGATAAAAATTTTCTTCATCTGAATCGGTATACATATCATGACGATGATAATCATCATCGGACGATGAATCCGAAAGGCATGAATAGCTATCTTGAATATCAGTTAAAAGTTCCTGTAAATGACTAACGGTGCATTCAAGGGGTGTTTTTAAATCTCCATTAACTGCATTAACATTCGCTCCATGTTTCAATAGAAGATGAACGGCATGTGCCAAGCCATCACTAGCGGCACGATGAAGAACACTTTCCTTATCTTTCGATGACCATCCATTTGGATCGGCGCCAATTTTCAAGAAATAACTGAAAATTTTACTTCTTTCGACCCATGCGGATTTTTCATATTCCTCATAGCATTCTTGAAATGAATCAATGACAATGCAATGTAAAATGTAGCAAAGTAAATGTTTACCATTGTTAACTTGAGCTTTCATATCGGCACCAGCTTTCAATAGGAACTTGACCATTTTCAATGTTTTTTTATCGCAAGCCAAACATAATGGAGTTAAATCAATTTTACAACGGGCATTTATATCGGCGCCATAATCTAAAAGTAATTGAGCAATACTTTCTCCACCTGATCTAATAACAAAATGCAATGGTGTAAATCCAATAATACTGTGTTCACTACTATCATCGTTACGTAAATCGTACGATGAAAATGTACCGTAAATTAAATAATTTTCATTTTTATCTTCAGATGTCGATTGTTGATAATATGTCGTTTTTTTATTTTTATCAACATCGATTGATTGTAATTTTACATTGACAATTGCACCTCTCTTTAAAAGTAACTCCGTTACTTTTTCATTTGACTTGTAAGCTGCGCAAATAAGCGGTGAACAAAAATAATTTTTTTCTACAATTTTCTTCCTGAAAAATAAATAATTCAAAATTAATTTACATCTCATATAATAATACTTATAAAAAATAAATTAAAGACAGAAACTTTCTGCTGTGCGATTCCAAGTGAGATTTTGACTTTTTCGGAGTAGGTTAACCGATTGCAATGAAACTTTGGAATTTTGTTATATACAGTAAGACTAATCTTTAACGTAAATTTCAGCCTAAAATATTTGTTAGTTTACGAGATTTGCAATAATAACAAAAAATTTAAAACTGCTATATCTTCCGTTCTAATAAACGGATTGAGGTCTACTTTTTTTTAAAATGTCAAGGAAAATGAGAGGAATAAATCTCTTTCAGAACATTTTTTTATAATTTTACAACTAAAAAAATTATTAAATAATAATTGAATAACTTTCGCGCGACTATCTAAAATTCAATCACTTAAACGCTAAAATGATCTTACCTGTGTTTTCTTTAATGTTCCAAAGGATGTTTATTATAAATGTAAGTTTAACTTAAGAAATTATATTAATTTATTAGTATAAACAATTGAGATTTCTGCTAGTTGACGTGCAGACGACATTGCGCACGCAGCATTCTCACATAGCCAATTTAGTCCACGAATCACGTCAGTTGGCTATGTGAGAATGCTGCGTGCGCAATGTCGTCTGCACGTCAACTAGCAGAAATCTCAATTGTTTATACTAATAAATTAATAAAATTTCTTAAGTTAAACTTACATTTATAATAAACATCCTTTGGAACATTAAAGAAAACACAGGTAAGATCATTTTAGCGTTTAAGTGATTGAATTTTAGATAGTCGCGCGAAAGTTATTCAATTATTATTTAATAATTTTTTTAGTTGTAAAATTATAAAAAAATGTTCTGAAAGAGATTTATTCCTCTCATTTTCCTTGACATTTTAAAAAAAAGTAGACCTCAATCCGTTTATTAGAACGGAAGATATAGCAGTTTTAAATTTTTTGTTATTATTGCAAATCTCGTAAACTAACAAATATTTTAGGCTGAAATTTACGTTAAAGATTAGTCTTACTATATATAACAAAATTCCAAAGTTTCATTGCAATCGGTTAACCTACTCCGAAAAAGTCAAAATCTCACTTGGAATCGCACTGCTTTTTAATAAATCAAATTAAATTAAAAATTGGCTTTTATTTTTATCGTATTTGCTTTATATATGATGTATTCCACGCCAAAGTAAAAGTTCATCTCCGATTTTGTTGAGATTTTTTTTTAATTTTAGTACTAATTGAGACTAGCTTCCATGAATTTTTTCAAATTTTTTTAGCAAGCCGTTTTCGAGTTATAGAATTTTGATAATTGGAGAATTTTCATGACTTTTAATTTTTGAATGCTCATAACTTCCTTAAAAATGCATCAATTTTAAAAGCCTTTTTTTCAAATTGTGTGTTTTTAAACGTACTTTCAAAACTAACGAAATTTTTTTTAAACTATCAAATTTTTGAGTTTTAATGATAAAAAGTCATTTTTCTCATTTGACGTACTGATCGATTTTTTCAAAAAATTTTCAAAAAAACTACTTCTTTTTACGAAACTTTTAAGCCTAGCCCGATAATGGGCAAACAATTTTTACAATATTTTCGGAATTTTTCAAAAATTTTTGAATTTTTTAAAAATATTTTTGGTTTTTTTTTATACTACGTACTTTTATGTATTTTGATGTGCTGATTACGAAAATTATAGTGAAAATACCCAAAAATTTGATTTTTATGATGAAAACCATAAAAAAGTCCTAAAATTTAAAATATTTATTTTAATAAAATAAATTAAATAATAATAAATAAATAAATAAAAAATAAATAAATAATAAATAAATAAAAATAAATAAATAAATTTAAATAAAAACGTTTATTGGGTAAAATATGCAAAATTAAAAAAAACTTTGAAACAAAAGTTACAGATCTTATTAAAATACATTTTTTTTAATTTTGCATATTTTACCCAATAAACAAAAAAAAAACATAAATTTTGGGATTTTTTTTATGGTTTTCATCATAAAAATCAAATTTTTGGGTATTTTCACTATAATTTTCGTAATCAGCACATAAAAGTACGTAGTATAAAAAAAAACCAAACATATTTTTAAAAAATTCAAAATTTAAAATTTTTTGAAAAATTCCGAAAATATTGTAAAAATCGTTTGCCCATTATCGGGCTAGGCTTAAAAGTTTCGTAAAAAGAAGTAGTTTTTTTAAAAACATTTTGAAAAAAATCGATCAGTACGTCAAATAAGAAAAATGACTTTTTATCAAAAAAACTCAAAAATTTGATAGTAATATCGTTTAAAAAAAATTTCGTTTTTTTTTTGAAAATACGTTTAAAAACACACATTTTGAAAAAAAGACTTTTCAAATTGATGCATTTTTAAGGAAGTTATGAGCATTCAAAAATTAAAAGTCATGAAAATTCTCCAATTTTCAGAATTCTATAACTCGTAAACGACTTGCTTAAAAAATTTGAAAAAATTTATGGAAGCTAGTCTCAATTAGTACTAAAATTAAAAAAAATCTCAACAAAATTGGAGATGCAATTACAGATGGACTCTAAAGCACTAATACACTCATTAAAGTTTTATTACTATTAAATTATTATTTTTTAATTTTAATTTTAATATTTTTGTACTTTTCTATAAATCTTTTTGTTACTCATTTATGGTCCAAGATGAACTGCGGGAACTTTGTGTAAATAAATAAATAAAAATATTTTTACTAAAGCTACTAATTTAAAAAATTTCTTTTTTATTTACTAATAAAATAGAGAGAAGTTTGTATAATTCATCTAATGGCGTAGAAAGCAATATGAAAAAAAATCGGATAATTCTGAAGTAAAAAAAAAAAAAATTTCTTTATAAAGTTCGATTTTTCACTGCCTACTTATTTTTTAAATTGTAATAAATTATTTATATAAAAATGTTTTTTGGATTTAAGAACCTTTAGTCATTTTTTTTTTTTTTTTTTTTTTTTTTGAAACACAAACTAAATTTATAAGTTTTCACATCATAATGGAATCGAATAACGAATAAATAAGTTGAAATGAATATCTAAAAATATTTTTTAGAGCAATTTAGAGAAAAATACTTTTTTGAAAAATAAAGATATTTAACAATTATAATTATTTTTTGCCTGGAAAATTTTTTGAAACATTTCTCAATCAACAAATTTTTAAATGAAAAAATGTTATTATTTTCCGCGTGAAAAATATTAATTTTTAATTTTTAATCGTTAATCATAAACGTTGTATGAGAATATTTTATTTAACTATAATTAAAAAAAGAAAAAAAAAATACAAACCCCGATTTAACTTTAATTTTAGGATCCACGTTGGCTCCATGTTGTAATAGCAATTCAACAATGCTATCGTGCTTATTTAAAATTGCTGCATGTAAAGGAGTCAAATATGATCCAACTGTATAATTTGGATCAACTTTCTTTGCAAGTAAATATTTTACTATGTCCTCTTTTCCATTAAAGGATGCAAAATACAAAGCAAAATAAAATTGATCATCTTTTGTTGGAAGTGTGGATGTTTTTTTGAAATGTATTTTCATTTCATCGACATTTCCTTTTTGCGCTGCGTCAACTAACTCAGAATTATAAATTTTCTTCTCCATTACTGTAATAAAAAAAAAATTGTTTACTTTTAATAATTACACTATAAAAAAAAAATTTCTTATACCTATATAAATTTCCTATTTTTATTTGTATATAAATTTTGTAAAATAACATGATTCAATATACGATAAATTTAATACATTGAATGTGATAGTTTTAAATTTTTACGAAGCTGAAGTACGCAATATTTATGATAAATGATTTTTAAAGAAAAAATGTTTTAAAATGAAAAATTCTATAATTTTTTGTCTAAAAAAAATTTCTTGTATTTTTTAGGCAAAAAATTATAGAATTTTTATTTTTAAAAATTATTTCTTAACAAATCGTTTGGTCAATTCTGAAATAATTCGTATGTGTAAATTTTCATCCTTTATAAAATTAAAAATATTTGACATTGTAAATTTACAATATGTACTTATAATAATTTAACATTATCTGATTACTTTTGAAATAGAATTTAACTTTTTTTTTTTTTACTAAACCATATGAACATATGATAAATTTTTATATTCTTATTAAAATAGTCAAAACACGATGAAAATAATTTTTGACTTCTGTATTCGTTGAATATGTTTTATACACTTAAGAAAATATTAACAAATGAAATATAATTGATATTTTTAGTATTAAATTTATTGGTTATTTTAACTAAAATAATTGCAAAACTTTATTAATTATTTAGAATAGAAATATACATTTTCTTTAAAATTATAACAAACCACGTGCATCTTAAAATATAATATAAGATTCGCAATTGAATTTTCAAAGAAGAAAATATTGATATACGAACAAAAAAAAATACTTAAACAGAGAAACTTACTTGTTTTATGCTGTTTTGCATTCTTTTTTCAAAAGCTCAAGATAAAGAAACGACAAATTAACAGTAGCAACAGAACTAAACAGGACTGAGGACAACTGAGGACAAAGTCAAACAAAGTAATCAAGCCAGAGAAGCGGCAACATTGGCAACTCTGGCGGCAACCAGCAACGGCAATCACGCAATTGACCCAATTTTGCATAAATTATATAGAATGGAAACTGTTGCGCAATTTTCTTTGAAAGGGTTGGATAGGTAGATATCAAAAGTACGATATTACTATAGGTTACAAGGGATTGGCTAGTTAGTATATTTTACCATATAAATATCACCAACCAATCAAAAAAGAAATTCACGAATTCTAAAATTATTATGGTCGTAAAAATTAAGGTGCTTATATACCTCAAATTTCGATCAGATGAACATTATTTCTGGACCGTGAAAATGCGTGAAAAGTCATTTTCACGGCGGGTATTTTTGAATTGTTTTAATCAAAAAATGTTTTTTTTAAGAAATATAATATTAAATAATTGTTTTAATATGTAAGAACACTTTAAAATAGTGATAAAAAGATGATTTGATTGAAAAATTTAGCAAATTTTGCTTTAAAACGTTTCTGCTACAAGAAAGTGTAAAATGACGATGTTTGTGAAATGGTTTGTACAGTGTACATACATGTGTACATGTTTCTTTCAGTTATTCGAAACAATTAGTTGAATTTAAATTTATTTGATAAACATTTCAACTTACCGATTTATTTTCAGCACTCATTATTTATTACAAGTTAAAAAGAACCGACATAACATAAACAAAACTCTGAGACACTAACAAGGAAGAAGCACTGTACAAACCATTTCACAAACATCGTCATTTTACACTTTCTTGTAGCAGAAAACGTTTTAAAGCAAAATTTGCTAAATTTTTTAATCAAATCATCTCTCTATCACTATTTTAAAGTGTTCTTACATATTAAAACAATTATTTAATATTATATTTCTTAAAAAAAACATTTTTTGTTTAAAACAATTCAAAAATACCCGCCGTGAAAATGACTTTTCACGCATTTTCACGGTCCAGAAATAATGTTCATCTGATCGAAATTTGAGGTATATAAGCACCTTTAGAATTGTCAAATTAATTCTTTATTAAATCAAAATAATTTATCCTATTGTGTGAAATTAAAATTTTTTTAACAGAAATATAAACATTTTTATTCTATGCATTGTGTCTTAAATTTTTTTTTAAAATTTTTTCGTAATTTAAAAAAATTTTTAATTTTTTTTTCATAAATACCTCTCATTTTCTTGATACATTTGTAAATTTATGTATTTTGATTCACTGATAATGAAAATCATAGTGAAATTATCGGCAAATTTGATTTTTTCTACTGAAAACCAAATAAAAAAACTGAGGAGCAAATTTTCAAAACTTGAGATAACCATAAATTTAATATTTTAAGGACCTCACAAATCGATCTGTCACTGTTAAATTTAAGAAAAAAAATTTATTAATTACAAATTTTTTATTTAAAAACTTATTGACATAACCAAGATGATTTACAATTTGTATGTTTTATATTAGAAAAAATTACCAAAACCTGTAAATCACTCAATTATGACAAAGTTCAATTCACGAAGTAATATAAGGAGGCTCCACAAGCATAGAAAGGCGAGTCCAATTTTCCGGAAATTAATTGCTTCAACTAGGATTAACCTCACTAGCGGTTCCTAGCGGAAAACTCTTGTAAGCTCTAAATTTAAACAGTGGCGCGTGTCATATAACTGTCAAGTGTATGCATTAATGAATATATTCGTCATTGTTTGTTTTTATTTTTTTTTCATAGTGCTCTTTGATTTCTCGTGTTTGGGAGTTTTAGTTTTAGTTATCAAATTCAAAATTCGTGATATTGAAATGCCGACGTGCTTTGTACGCGGATGTAAGTCTTCGGACTATAAAAATCAAAAGGAAAACTCAGAGAGAAAAATTAGTTTATTTCGTCCAAACAGGGTGAGTATTAATTATTCTGTTTTCTTAGTAAATCTTGTAAATTGTATAAATTATATTTGGATAATTAAAAAAGTAATTCTTTAAATAAAGTTCTTGTCTTGAAAACGTTTTGAAAACGTTACTGTATATATAGTTATTTTCAAAAATTAAGATGTCAAATTGAAAAATTTGTTTTATATTTAAAAATAAAAAACCTAAATCAATTCGTACTTTCGATAAAAAAATAAAATAAATAGAGAACGATGTATTAATTATAGTGAAAATTTTTAAGGAGTGTGCGAATGAAGATTAATATTTTAAAAAGTGTTTTTCGGATACTTTTTCAAGTCATTATTATTTGTTAAATGTTATATAGGAAGAGGTGTTAAGAAGGTGGCAGGAAATTGTACCAAATGGACAAAATTTGAAAAAACATCATGCCATTTGTGAGCTACATTTTGATAAAAATGATATTTTGAGACATGATGGAAATGAATTTACTTTACCGTCGGTACGTGCACGTTTAAAGGATGGTGCTACACCCAAAATTTTTGAAAAATTTGAAAAGAGTGAAACTACTCCACGTGTGATTGTAGTAACACATAATTTTCCTCATAATAACGATTTTGAAAAAGAAATTAATTTTGATGTAATTTATAAAAATGCTCATTGTATACCACTGCCTTCCTGTCACTGGTTCATGATGCGAGAAGAGGGCAAAATCATATGGAATTACTGGAAAGAAGATTGCTCTGAAGAAAGTGTGCAACTAGTTGTACTTTCTTCGAATATGATAGTGAAGGTAAGAAAATACTGTACGTACTCTATTAAGTGTGTAATAATTGCAATATATTTTTTTTTTGGTAGATTTTTTTGAAAGGAAAGGAGGTACATGTGGATAATATAAATTTTGCACAAAATGTGAAAGATATTGCAGATATACTGAAGAAGGTGGAAAATATTCTACCATGTGCTAGTGATGAATCGGAATACAGGTTTGCAGTATTTAGTTACATTTAACTTATATATATAGATTATTATTAAATTTATTTTTTATTTTAGGTCTTTAGATTGTAAACCCAGTAAAAAAAAAAGTATAGACAGTAAGGAAAAAGTATAGACTCATAGTTTAGTGGCTATACCGTTCGGCATGTAATGACGGTATAGAGACGTTACGGTGTATACTTTTTTCTTACCGTGAATACGGTTCACCTGGATTGTTTGAATTGATGTGTATTAACGCGATTTGACATTGTCAATGAAAAAGCCGATTGTTTTGAAGTGTAATAATGCCGATTACGAGGAGGAGCGACGAAATTTTATCTAAAAGTTAAAAAGGTAAATGTGACAGGCACGAGACCTGCGAGAGTTGTTACCACTGGATTGAGGAAATGCATCATTACTGACAAAAAGTATTCGACAGAAACTTACCGACAGAAAGTTACTAGGAAGAGCGGCAAATTCAAATGGTCAAATTAAATTCGAATGAATATATACATAATTTAATGTAGTTTTTTTATTTTAAATCAAGTATAGTATTTTAAATAATTAAATACCGATATTAAATAATTAATGTTTATTATAAAAATTGACATATAGACATGAAAATTTTTTCATTTTTAGCATTTAAATCTGTGAAATAATGAAATATTGTAATTTTATTTTTTAATTACAAAAAATTTTTATTTTTTATTAATTATTAATAATTAAATTTTTTTCATAAAAATAAAAATGTACTGCAAAGAATATGTTTTATGCATTGAAAAATAAAAATTTGTTAAAATATATTATTTCTATATTTTGTAAATAAAGTTATTTATTAAAATAATTTTTTTATTTATAAAATTGAAATAGATTAAAAAATTAATGTTTTAAATTAAAAATTTTTTATTTGAATTAATATATGTAATTAACTATTATGAAAATTAATAAGTCGTTAAATTTTTTTTTTTTTTTAAAATAACTAATCTTTTTTTACCTATAAACAAATTTAATTTTATTTTGAACAAAATTATATTTTTAATGATAAAAACTTTGTTATTTTACATAGAGACGAATAATATTATACTTTTTTTATTTGTGAGTGAGAAGTGACCAAAACCAAATAATTGTAAATCATCGTAAAAATATTTTAAAAGGGATAGAAACAAAACAATACATTTTAAAATTATACAACACAAGAATACTCGCAAATGCGATTGTAAAACGAAAAGTACGAAAGTAATATAATTTTAGGTTTATTACGTCCTGCAGCCGTTAGGTGGCAGAAGCATGCAGGGAGCACAATGTCGCAGCTGTCATTATATTACTTTCGTACTTTTCGTTTTACAATCGCATTTTTGTATAGATTTGCACAATCTTTCGGATTTAAGAAATTTATAAGATAAGGATCCTTGGTATTTTTTCCGATTTTGAAAAAAGTGTCGGCGTTTTGAGAAAAAAGTATTTTAAACTCAATGTTTATCATTTTCACGTTCAGTGCCGTTTTTATAGGGCGATTATTGAATGCCAAAGAATTTCAGAGACCGTTCGACACTCTTAAACGATATTTTTTTATTTGTGAATTTCTTTTATATTTAAACGCATTCTTTTATCCTACAATAATTTTTAATGCTTATAATTTGTTTCATACGCGTATATGCGATTTGCGAGTATTCTTGTGTTGTATAATTTTAAAATGTATTATTTGTTTCTATCCCTTTTAAAATATTTTTACGATGATTTACAATTATTTGGTTTTGGTCACTTCTCACTCACAAATAAAAAAAGTATAATATTATTCGTCTCTATGTAAAATAACAAAGTTTTTATCATTAAAAATATAATTTTGTTCAAAATAAAATTAAATTTGTTTATAGGTAAAAAAAGATTAGTTATTATTAAAAAAAAAAAATTTAACGACTAATTAATTTTCATAATAGTTAATTACATATATTAATTCAAATAAAAAATTTTTAATTTAAAACATTAATTTTTTAATCTATTTCAATTTTATAAATAAAAAAATTATTTTAATAAATAACTTTATTTACAAAATATAGAAATAATATATTTTAACAAATTTTTATTTTTCAATGCATAAAACATATTCTTTGCAGTACATTTTTATTTTTATGAAAAAAATTTAATTATTAATAATTAATAAAAAATAAAAATTTTTTGTAATTAAAAAATAAAATTACAATATTTCATTATTTCACAGATTTAAATGCTAAAAATGAAAAAATTTTCATGTCTATATGTCAATTTTTATAATAAACATTAATTATTTAATATCGGTATTTAATTATTTAAAATACTATACTTGATTTAAAATAAAAAAACTACATTAAATTATGTATATATTCATTCGAATTTAATTTGACCATTTGAATTTGCCGCTCTTCCTAGTAACTTTCTGTCGGTAAGTTTCTGTCGAATACTTTTTGTCAGTAATGATGCATTTCCTCAATCCAGTGGTAACAACTCTCGCAGGTCTCGTGCCTGTCACATTTACCTTTTTAACTTTTAGATAAAATTTCGTCGCTCCTCCTCGTAATCGGCATTATTACACTTCAAAACAATCGGCTTTTTCATTGACAATGTCAAATCGCGTTAATACACATCAATTCAAACAATCCAGGTGAACCGTATTCACGGTAAGAAAAAAGTATACACCGTAACGTCTCTATACCGTCATTACATGCCGAACGGTATAGCCACTAAGCTATGAGTCTATACTTTTTCCTTACTGTCTATACTTTTTTTTTTACTGGGAAGGTTACGTAATGAAGACAGAATGTGGTAAAAGAGGTAAACGCGTAAAATTTTGTGATCCTTGTAAATTTCATCGATTACGATTACAAAAAAAAAAAAACGATTCCGGAAAACTAAACGCGAAAAACAAGGAATTGCGTGAAAAATTGAAAAGTGAAAACCGTCGAAAACAACGCACATCGTTCAAGGTAATGATAAGTGAAATTTGATTTTTAATGATAATTTAACAGAATTGCGACAATAGATTTTTTTTAAGGTAAAAATCAATTATTGTAAGAAGCGAAAAATTCTCTGAACTTTTTCACTACTTAAAACAATTTTTAAATTTGGATTTTCTGTAAAAATTTCACGTTGATCTCGAAAATACTTCCTTATTATATATAAGTATATGTATATCTAAAGGATTTTACAATTTTGTAAACTTGTAGCTGGTAGCTTACGCAAGTATGTAAATATTTAAATATTTTTATTATAAAAAATAGCTTTAAAAATGTGATATTTTTACAGGGAAAAAATTATAAAAATTTACTTAAGCAGTCTAATTTTTTTTAACACAAAGTACAAAATTTATAAGGTATAAGAAATTTAAAAAATATTTGTTAATAGATCAAGAAACTAGAAGAAAAGGTAGAAAATTTAAAATTAAAATGTTCAAAAATTGAAAATGAAGCCATTGTTAAGTGTTTAATTCAATTACCTGAAAATGAGCAAAATGCTGTGCGAACCATACTGGAAACTTCAAAAGTAAAGAGCAACAAAGGATTAAGATACCAATCGGATTGGGTTTATGAATGTATTCTTTTGAGGATCAAGAGTCCTAAAGGTTATGAACACATTCGAAGAAGACAACTTCTTCCATTACCAAGTGTAACAACTTTAAATAGGTACATGAAATTCATTAAAAGCCAGTATGGTTTTCAGGAAATCATTTTCGAAGGCATTAAATTAAAAACCAAAGATATGTCGCCATTGGATGTTCACGGTGTGTACACTAAAATCAAATCTTTACTTATATTAAAGGGAAAAACTTTTTTGCATTATCGAGGATCTAAAATTATTAAATATTATTAAAATTTAAAAAAAAATGTTTTTGACCATTTGAGAATTCTTGTCTAAAAAAATAAAAATTGTTCAAAATTCATACGATCAATTTTTTTAAATCATGAAAAATGTATTTCATGTTGCTAAGGAGATATAATTTTTTTAAAACATTTTTTGGAAAATTAAATCGTACTTCTTTTTCAAAAATTAAAAAAACCCTGTGAATAATTTCTCACAACTCTTATTTTTTTATTTCTTAAATATTCTATTTTTTACGGTTGAAATTTAGTGGACTCTTCCATTGAATTGAATAAATATAGTTACAAATTTATATGCTTCTAAAATATGAGTAGAATTTTTTTTTTTTGTAGGATGCCTGTTAATCGATGAGATGAAATTAACCAAATATATCCACTTTGATGAAATGAATCTTAAATTTGAAGGATTCACCTATCTCGGCAATTATACCCCAGAAAATCAAACAAATCAAGCCGGTGATCATGCACTCGTTATGCTATTTCAGCCATTTAAAGGAAAATGGGTGCAAAGTTTGGGGTGTTTTTTAAGTAAAGGTTGTGCACCTGGTAAAGTATTGCACAAGTTAATAACTGAGTGCATAATTCTTACAGAGAATGCAGGATTAAAAATTGACGCGATAGTATCTGATGGAGCGTCATGGAACCGATCAATGTGGACTCAATTTGGAGTCAATGAGGAAGAAGTCAGCATAGAACACATCGTCGATTCAAGTCGCCGATTGTGGTTTGTGTCTGACTTCCCTCACTTGGTCAAATGTGTAAGAAATTTCTTAATAAAACATGGACTTCTAGAAGCAATTTGGGTAAAAAATTAATATCAATTTTTATTTATTAATTTAAAAACTTAATTTAGTAAATTTTCATTTTTAAAAATGACTTTAGAATCATTCAACAATTTTTTAAATAAATCCATATTATGGAAAATAAAATAAATCTAATATAGTAAGTTTACATTTAAAAAAAGTAATATCTTGAAATTAATGCTTTCCAAACTTTTAACAAATTGTACTGGCAGTTAGCCGATTCGAACGAAATTAGATGAAAATTGTACTTCAATATATACTCAGAATATATATATATATATATATATATATATATATATATATTATATTACTATGATATTTACTGTCATGAATTTTTTAGACTCCAGATGGATTCATCGCGTTAATAATTTGGTTTTCCTTATTGGATTGCGAAAATACAGAAGATTTTTCTATAAAAGCAAACTTCAAATTTACAAAGAAGCACTTGCGACCCAGCTTATATGAGAAAATGAACGTCGCCTTGGCTTTCCAAGTACGTGATTTTATTGGTAAAAAATATTACTTTGATTTAATCAAATGAATAAAATATTTTCTGCTTTTTAAAAATTAACAGTTTTTTGGAGTCGCTGACCTTTTGGAATTAAATAAAAATAAGCACCCGGATTTAGAAGAGTGTGACTCTGCGATTGCCTTTTGCAAAAAATGGAAGGCTCTAATCAATGCTATGAATAGCAGAACACCAATAGATGCCTTAAAAGTTGACAATGAACCTTATAAAGTATGATCCATTTACATAAAATCAATATCAATTAAATGTTTGTTCTTAATAATACAACATTCAATTTCACGCTTGTATATTATACTTTACAGATTATTCAAAATTTTTTAAAATATCTTGAAGAATGGCAATCAGTGGCAACAGAAAAAAACTATAAATGTTTTCACAACAAAACGTTCTATGGGTTAAAAGTTTCTTTGAAAGCCACCCTAGAAATATGTCAATATCTGATAGAAAACTGTGGGTTCAGTTATATAATGACTGCTAGATTAAATCAGGATAGCTTGGAAGTACGGATTTTTTACAAAGGAAATTAAATTTTCTAAGTGTTCTATCCCAAAAAAATCAAAGTTTTTCAAAATTATTTTGTTAGTCTTGTTATTAAAAGTTCTCTCTTATTTCCACTTTCATCTAATTTTAAAGAAAAAGAAATTTACTTTTAAATACATTTTTTTCAAGTAATTCACAAGTTGTAGTTAATTCTTATAAAAAATTTTAAAAAAGAATAAATTTATTATCTTTTGTTCATAAAGTCAATAAAAATTTAATGTTTTCAAAAAAAAACTTGATTTAAAAAAAATTGCATTGTCATTACATAACTGAGATTTTATTTTATAAAATTTTGAACTATTCAGAAAACATTGAATTTTATGGGTGCAATACTTGAAAAATTTTGTCCCACATAGAATTTAAATTATATTTTTTTTATTAATGGTTTAATGCATAATTTTGTTGTATTGTAGCGCTTCTTTGGAATGATGCGAGAGAGTTGTGGTGCGAACGACCACCCGGATTCGCGACTGTTCATACAATTATACAGATTAATTTCAACTTATTCTTTGATCGAGTCTCCGAAAGGATCAAATGTAGCAAGCTCAGAGATATTTGACGCTCTTTTACAAATTCAAGATATTGAGGAGAGAAATGAAAGAAAGAAAAAATGGGAAACTGAACTTGATAAAATTTTGGATAGTGGATCGAATATTGATGCATTAATTGAGGCCACAACTCTTTTACAAGACCACGATTATTGTGAATCAGAGACATCTGTTTATGCCAACGCTTATGTTGCTGGATATGTAGCACGCAAGGCTTCTTTGAGATTCGCAAAATTCATAGTAGATGAAAAAAGTGTCGTTTGCAAAAATTGTTGCGACGCATTAATTTTGTCTCCAAATGACCCGATACCAGAGCGACACAAACTCATCGAATTACGAACTAAAGGAAATCTAAAAAATCCTTCAGTTAAGCTATGCAATCTTATTAACATTTTAGAGGTTGCGGTAATGAAAATTGTAGGAAGTGGCAAGCTTGAAGAGGATACATTATTCCAGGTGACTTCTGCTCTTCAAGATTCATGTTCTGTACAATTGATCGGTTGCACAGATCACGCAGAATCACTCACTCGACGAATAATAACATTTTATTTAACAACCAGGATGTATTTCATATCAAAACAATGGAATAAAAATAATACTGAGAGAGCAAAGACAAGAGCAAAACGAAAAGAAGCTAAATTAGTCGAAGAACGCGATCGAGATGATGACACATATTTAAATGAACCACAAATTGGCGAAATACGAAGAGAAAGGAAAATTACTTTCCCGGAACTGAAAAATAAAAGACAAAAAATACAGCAAGATCAAGTGCAATAATATAATGTAAATAGTCTACAATAAAAAATACATTTTTATTGACACCTTTTGTACTACATTTTATAAATCACTTAATTTCTTATTTATTATAATCTATACAATTTTTAATAAATATAAATATATACAAATTCATTCATCTAAATAGCTAAAACGCATTAAAAAATATATATTAAATGTCAAAAATAGAAAACTATGAAAAAATTCCTTGTATAAATCAAAAATTAATTTCCATTTCATTACATATTTAATACAATAACAATAAAATAATTAAAAATCCTCCAATATTAAAATATTGAGACTATAAAAATTTCTATTTTATACTTAAAAATTTCATGTATAAATTAAAAATAAAATAATATTGCAAATTTTAAAATATATAAAATAAAATCTAAATAAAACAAAAATATAATTCACAAGTTGATTACCATAATTGTATAAAGTTTGTAAATTTTAGGCGCTCGTATCAGAAGTTCTTTTCTTTTAAATTACATTTGTCATTTCTACTGCATTCACGTTAACCTCGTTAATAGTTTTTAAAAGATTATTAAATTTTTCGACATTAGTTACTTTTATGTATGGCGAAAAAGGCATCACTTTGTTGTTAAAATAAATTCTTATTTCCATATTATTAAATACTGCCACTCTTTTTAAAACTTTGTAATTCTCTTCAACTCTTTGAAAACCAAAAAAGGTTTCATTTCCTTTTGTATAACACCACCTCTTGTCAGGTAATTTAACAAATTCCAATTGATTTTGTAAATTTTTGAATATTAACTTAGAATCTGCATGTGCTGTAACATTTGTGTACTTTTCTACGTCGTCTTTACTACTTTTCATTTTTCAGTAATTATAAGAATCTGTAAAATTATTTTACATTATTAAACACAAGAATTTTCATGTGGATTTTAAAATATTAACAAATTAAAAAAATTTCTTATTCTTTGAGCAAAAAGTTTATTAAATAGAATGTTTATTAATTATGAAAATAGATAATAATCATCAACACTTACCTCCTTTTTCTTGTTTGATTTTGATATAGTGCAAAAAAACGAATAACAGCACATGAAGCACGTCTCAGCATCACAAAAACAACAAATAACTGCATTTATTTATTTAAATAAAATTTGTCACAGTTATAATAATTCCTTGTTGTGCTTGACAATAATCGAAATTGTAGGTTATGTTTACTGTATCAAACTACATAAGTTTTTAATTAGACGATATACTTACTCGGTGGATTTATAATGACTGTAAATACAAGTTTTAAAAATGATATAAATTTTTAAACACAAGTAACTAAAAACATAAAAAAAACACGATAAATGCATTTTTGGGTATCTCACCACTTGACACGCGCCACTGTTTAAATTTAGAGCTTACAAGAGTTTTCCGCTAGGAACCGCTAGTGAGGTTAATCCTAGTTGAAGCAATTAATTTCCGGAAAATCGGACTCGGTTTTCTCACACTTTGCCCACCTAGTGGAGCCTCCTTATACTACTCCGTGGTTCAATTAGAAACATAACCTCTTGAATATAAAAACATTGTTATAGAAATAAATTATTATAAATTTTTTATTTTAAAATTACTTAACTCTAGTGGTTATGTGTGGAAAGTCATTTGTTTGAATTTCTCGAAATAAGAATGTAAATCAGAAAGTATTTACGAAACCCCTTTTTGCCAATGTTTAAACATTTTTTTCAATAATTATTTATCAAGATTATGCGAAATTCCGAGAAGACCTTTCTCTATTATTTCCAAAAAATTACAATCTAAAATATTCTATTTTTTTCAAATGAGAAGAAATCTACAAAACCATTATTTTCTCCCCCTTAATTTTAAAATTTTTTACGATACATTAAACTTCGTTACTTTAATTTTTTGAGATAAAATAGAAAGTTAATTGTGGAACAATTAATTTTACAAATTCTATAATGAAATTTTTTTAAATTTCAATTTTATTGTAGAAAATGGTTTAAATTAAAAATAATTACTATTAATTTAAAAAAAAAATTTCGCAGAAGAAAATAAATTATATTTTTTTTTTCTTCAAGATGGGTAAATTAAAATAAAGTCATTAACAATTTATTTTAGATATAATTTCAAAAACATACAAAAATTATAAAAAAAAAATTATAAATATATTAAATATTATTATATTATTTATATTTTCAATTTACAAATTTAAAAAAAATTAAATCTATTCTAATTGAATTAGAAAAATATTATTTTTTTTACAGTGAAAATAGTAAAGAACACGCCGTTGATAATTTTTTGTAGATCAAAAACTGAAAGATATTGTAAAATTTCTTGAACATCTATCTATACATGAAAATTTAATTTCATAATTATTTTCAATGAGACGAAATATATTTTCGTAAAAGTCGATGATTTCTATAATATAGTTAAGTTTTTTTTTCAGTTTTCTTCAATATTAATTCATCGGAAATTTAGTAAATAAACATTTCAACATAAATTCAAGTAATAATATTTTGATTTTGAATTAAATTATTCACATAATTTTTGATTTTTGACGAAAACGAAATATCAATATTAACATAGTAATATTACAGTAATTTTATGACGTTGTTTTACAAAAAGTATATTATATTTATTTCAATTTCGATGAATTTTATGAAAATAATGAGAATTCATATAATTTCTACTTTTTTTGTCTTTTGTACATATATAAGCTTTACAAAATAGTTATATATCAAATTTAATGTTTTTCAAACATTAACGTATAAAGTATAACTATATAATTTTTAGCCTCTTTTTGATTTTCAAAAAAAAAAAAAAAATAAAAGTTTATTATATAAAAATAAATACGCAATATTCAACACAAATAAACGAACACTATTATTTTTCTTTCACTTTTAATTAACAAGAATTTTTATCATAAACAGGGAATGCCTCAGACAATCGTTTTATTTGTAACACATTTAGATAATCACAAATATTTTCGACAATTTCACAGGGAAGATGAATTTGAATACTATATCGTATAGCATAATAAAATGACTTTCTACACGAATCAATATATTCAATTCTTTCTCTAATTTTTTTAACACGCCTCTTAAAAAATTCTTTGTACATTTGAAAACTTTTGATATTTTCTAAATTTTCCATTAATTTTTCATTTGAAACACAAAATTCCAATTTACAAAGAGGTTTCGCCAAAAAATCATAATACGTCAATTCTAGTTCATCAGGTAGAATTTTGGTATTTTTCATTAAAGTGATTTCGTTTTGACATTTATTATTCCATTGTTTAATTTGAATTGCATTAACAAAATTGTCGAATGTTTTTTCTTCACCAATATTTAAATTTCTCGGTAAAGATTTTAATAAAATTATTCGCGCAATTAATGCCTGTTTAATATTTCCATTTATATAAATAATCTTTTCACGTGAAGTTTTTATTAATAATTCTTGAAATTCAACAAAAGTTTCAAATTTTTGAATATGATCAATTATTGCCATGAATATTGTATTTTCACTCTCTAATGATTGAATTGTCAATTTATATTTATTATTGTAATCATAATCAAGAAACAATTTAATTATATTGATTGATGTTTTTTGTTTAATTGCAAGATTTATGCACGATACAACTATTTCTTCTAGATCATCTTTTGGTATATAATCGAGAAGTTCTTTGAGTATTTCAATTTGTATGTTCTCCAATTTTGTCAATGATTTTTGAATTACACAATCAAGAGGTGTATATTGATTTTGAACATTGCCTTTTGGATTGGCACCGGCTGCTAAAAGAATTCTAACCATTTTCAAATTTAATTCAACAACAGCAAAATCTAAAGCAGTTTGATATTTTTCATTTAGCGAATTAACATCAACACCAATTTCAATGAATGCTTCAACTAATTGCCAATAATTCATTTCGGCAGCAATGAGAAATGGTTTTTGTTCGCCAAAATAATTTACCATTGAATGACCAGCTTTTAAGAGTAATGTTAAAATTTCATCTTTCACATTTTCAGCATTTATATCAACTTTTATCATTTCGGCACCATTTTTTAAAAGTTGTTTCACAATTTCCGTGTGTCCCTCTCTAATGGCACACGAAAGGGGTGTTTCTTTTTCTTCTTCTGTGAAAATATTGACTTCAGCGTCATTCGCTAATAAATATAACAATATATCCAATTGACCATAATATGCTGAATAATGAAGTAGAGAAATATTGTCATCTGTTTTTGTATTTATTTCACCGCAACCATTATCAATGAGATATTTAAGTAATTTTAAATAACCACAACGAACAATTTCAAAAAGATGAATTTTCTTTATAATTTTCATTGATTCGTTTTCAATAAAATATTTAACAACATCCAATTGATTATTTAATAATGCTAAATCAAGAGCAGTTTTATTATTTGAATTTTTAACATTATTATTTGAATATCCAGATTCAATGAGATATTTAACTATATCGATGTGACCATATTCTGCAGCACCATGAAGAGGTGTATCTAAATCAAAATCTGTATTTATTTGCACACCACATTCTATTAAATATTCTAATATTTCCCAACGATCATTTGAAGCTGCGATATAAAGCATTGGAATAGAAATATATTCTTTAATATTGAGAAATTCTAAAATATCCATTCGACCAATTTCAATACATTTTCCAATAACATCAAAAAATTGTTTATACGTTAATACATTTTTAGCTCCATTTTTCATAAGAAATTTAACAACTTTCAAATGTCCTTCTCTCACTGCATAATATAATGGTGTTCTTTCATATAAATTTTTACCACCAATAATATCAAATTTTGCATTGAAAAAAAGTTCCACCATTCCTAATTTTCCCTTTTCAGCTGCTTTATGAAGAAAAAAAAATTTTGTTGGAATTTTATTTATTTTATCAAGACATTTTTCCAATAAATATTTTAAAATATTGAAACGATTTTCAACAACACTGTAATAAATTAATGAATCGTGAATAATTTCATTTGTTATTAAACATTTTAGAATATCTAAACGATTATTTATAAAATAAAATCGCATATAATTATTAATTTCCAATGATGATAAATATTTTTTTGATCCATGTTCAATTAAACATTTAATTATTTCCAAACAATTATTTTCCAATGCTAAATGTATTGGTGTTTTTTTACATCGATTTCTATTGTTTATCTTCCCGTAATTATGATCAATCATTAATTTTAATATTTCAATATTTTCTCCTTGAGCTGCATAATGTAGTGGGGTATTTTTTTTACCATCTTGTTTAAATTCATCATTTTGATATGAAAGAAATTCTTTGACTTTTTTGATGTTTCCTTTTTTAATAGCCTTTACAAGAAATGAAATAGTGAGTTTTCTAATTTTCTTAGGTGGTTCTTCTAAAGATTCAATTTGTGAACTTTCTTTTTCAGGAGGTCTTTTACCTGACGATCGTGTTTTTCTTGTACTCGACATTTTTTACTGTTTAAAAATTGTAAATACTCTTTTAATACATAATTATTTATAAAAGTATTTATATTATATTTATTCAATTTTTTTGAACTGTTTTTTTTTTTTAATAAAATTTCATAATAAATATTTCGAGGACTTTAACAGATGATTTCTATTGTTATTTAAATTAATGTAAAATTTTGAATTTTTAATACTAAAAGAATAATAAAATAAATGAATTAGGTATATTTATTAATAAAAATTAAAAATATGTAACGTGAACAGTTCAGAAGAAATGAATTTGACGGACAGCCAAAACAAAAATTAGTCCAACTTCTCGTCTTTGTATTTTTAATTAAAAAAAAAAAATGTAATCAAAATATATATCAATAAAAATTTAAGTAATTTTAATTATAAAAAATTGAATTGAAGATTAAAAATTTCTCATAGGTTATATATTATTTATTATAAATCATAGGTTATATATTTTAAAATTGCATTTTGTTGGTTCTTATTTCACAATATAATTGTAATTATTTGATATTATTATATAGTACTTACTTATTATACTGTTTTGTATTTTTTTTTCCAAAAGTTCAAAAACATCAATCGTAACAGGACTAATCAGATCAATGAAAAACAAAGAAATTAATGAAATAGAGACATCAACGACGCGACTTTTTTCATTGCGAAATCTATATTACTCAGACTAAAATTTGTTCTACTCCATTGCTGTAAAAAATACAAAGAATTATTAATGATTATGAATTTTAATTTTGAATAATTATTATTAAAAACTACTTCATAAAAAATGGTAATGGTAATTTTACCATTACATTTTACTATTACAATTCTTCTTCCTTTTTTTAAGCTTTTTGAAATAAAATAAACTAGGAAAAACTCTCAAAACTATATATATCTGGAATGAGCATGAAGTTGTATACATATTAGGAACACTCACTCTATAGGCCGTTTCTGAAATGTACATATCGACGATACTAATAACCCTAGCGGAAAAGCGAGAAATTACAGGTCACGTGGTAGATTGTTATATAAAGGCCTGAGCAGAATAGAAAAGTAAATGGTATATCGTCACGAAGTAATAATAAGGAGACTCAACTCTGTATTTGCCATCTGTCAAGGTCACTGTACGATAAGTGACATGTTCGCTAAAGGGAATTAACTTTCGAATGAGAGCGCATGTGCAGTGTAATATACGTGTCTCTCTCTAACTAATAGGAAAAGTGCGACTGCAAAAGTTGCCGGCATTAGACTACAGGTGCTTTTATACCTCAAATTTCGATCGGATGAACATTATTTCTGGACCGTGAAAATGCGTGAAAAGTCATTTTCACGGCGGGTATTTTTGAATTGTTTTATACAAAAAATGTTTTCTTAAGAAATATAATATTAAATAATTGTTTTAATATGTAAGAACACTTTAAAATAGTGATAGAGAGATGATTTGATTAAAAAATTTAGCAAATTTTGCTTTAAAACGTTTTCTGCTACAAGAAACTGTAAAATGACGATGTTTGTGAAATGGTTTGTACAGTGCTTCTTCCTTGTGAGTGTCTCTCAGAGTTTTGTTTTGTTATGTCGGTTCTTTTTAACTTGTAATAAATAATGAGTGCTGAAAATAAATCGGTAAGTTGAAATGTTTATCAAATAAATTTAAATTCAACTAATTGTTTCGAATAACTGAAAGAAACATGTACACATGTACACTGTACAAACCATTTCACAAACATCGTCATTTTACACTTTCTTGCAGCAGAACGTTTTAAAGCAAAATTTGCTAAATTTTTCAATCAAATCATCTTTTTATCACTATTTTAAAGAGTTCTTACATATTAAAACAATTATTTAATATTATATTTCTTAAAAAAACATTTTTTGTTTAAAACAATTCAAAAATACCCGCCGTGAAAACGTCTTTTCACGCATTTTCACGGTCCAGAAATAATGTTCATCTGATCGAAATTTGAGGTATAAAAGCACCTTAATGACGGCAACTTTCTCACTCGCTTTTTTTCATTAGTTGAAGAGAGACACTGCACATGCGCACTGGTTTGAGAATCAATTCCATTTAGCGAACAGGACACTTATGGTCCAGTCACCATAGCCGAATTCCGATAATATACACCATTACAGTTTTTTATGCTTTTAGATGCGTTTTTGGTCATAAAAAGGGTATTCCTCTACTCGGATCTGGGTGTCAATTTTTTTCTACACTTTTCGGTGTATTTTGTGCAAGAATATGCAATAAAATCGTCTGCCTAAGAAAAATTGAATTTTTTTGGTAAGTTTTTTATACTTTTGGATGCGTTTTTAGTCATAAAAAGAGTCTTCCTCTTCCTCTACTCGGTGAAAGCCTACTTTCCTCCGGCTGTACCTGCACGGAAAGCGCGTTTATCGTGCATGTAGGACAAAAAATAATAAAAAAAGATATACTTATAACTTATCTGTTTGGTGTTTTTCAAATTTCAATCGTGGTAACTTGAGTTGGGAAGAACTATTCACAACGAGAGGTAAAGATCGCTGGCAGTAGATTTTGTTAATCTTGGTGGGATTTCCCTCGCAAGCTAAATCTACAATAGCTACGCGTGAACATGAACGTGTTGACGTCACAATGTTATTCAAATAAATGACGTAGCCCCAGGGTTGCACAGTTACGCGTAACTCAGAGTTTTTTACATTTGTAAAATACGTATAATACCCCCACCATAAAAAAATGCATTGTTTGAAAAATTTAGGGTAATTTAAGGTGCTTATATACCTCAAATTTCGATCAGATGAACATTATTTCTGGACCGTGAAAATGTATGAAAAGTCATTTTCACGGCGGGTATTTTTGAATTGTTTTAAACAAAAAATGTTTTTTTTAAGAAATATAATATTAAATAATTGTTTTAATATGTAAGAACACTTTAAAATAGTGATAAAAAGATGATTTGATTGAAAAATTTAGCAAATTTTGCTTTAAAACGTTTCTGCTACAAGAAAGTGTAAAATGACGATGTTTGTGAAATGGTTTGTACAGTGTACATGTGTACATGTTTCTTTCAGTTATTCGAAACAATTAGTTGAATTTAAATTTATTTGATAAACATTTCAACTTACCGATTTATTTTCAGCACTCATTATTTATTACAAGTTAAAAAGAACCGACATAACATAAACAAAACTCTGAGAGACACTAACAAGGAAGAAGCACTGTACAAACCATTTCACAAACATCGTCATTTTACACTTTCTTGTAGCAGAAAACGTTTTAAAGCAAAATTTGCTAAATTTTTTAATCAAATCATCTCTCTATCACTATTTTAAAGTGTTCTTATATATTAAAACAATTATTTAATATTATATTTCTTAAAAAAACATTTTTTGTATAAAACAATTCAAAAATACCCGCCGTGAAAATGACTTTTCACGCATTTTCACGGTCCAGAAATAATGTTCATCTGATCGAAATTTGAGGTATATAAGCACCTTTACATATGTAATATACGTAAAAAACTCTATGTTATTTACCTGAGGTTATTACATACACAACCCTGCGTAGCCCGTTCAACGTTTGCAGAATGCTGATTCTACACTCACCTAAAATTGCGCGAGCGGTCCGCATTTGCGTTACGTTTTTTATATATATAGAATATTGGGATCTCTTGTGGGGCGTGGCTTAATCATTTAACCTCCTCTCAATGGTACCATTTTTCGACACCGCGTTAAAAACCTACGCTGATTGGTGGAAGTTGGACAAAATTAGACAAAACGACCTACTCTCGAGGGTTACAAATATTTTCACCAGAGAGCGTCTTACAGTACAAGAGATCCCAATAGTTACGGAAGCCTGTACGGCTCACGAGCATCTCGGACGCAAGTGGCGGTGTTTCATACCACAAGTGGCACGAAGTCCGTCCAACTTGTGTAGTGTTCTTAAATTCTCGAGAATTTAAGCTGGGGTTATATTACCAGGAAAATTACGGTAATATAAATTTTTTAACAGAATTCAAGAGAATTTAAGAGAATATTGAGAATTTAAGTTTATTTACGTAAATAATGTATATTTATTGTTTTTATTAATATAAGACATGTATTTTATGATAATTAAGATAATTGCTTTTTTCTAAAAACATTTTTTTATTCTATGAATAAAAAAATCTTTAAAATCATATTTTTTAATATTTGTTAATAATCAAAAAGATGATATCGATTACTTTGAGTCAAGTGATCAATATTATATCTTTTTGATCATTAAATTTACCGAGTAATAGAATCAAAATAATATCATATATTTTTTAAATTAAAAACTTATGTTTATGAACATTGATTAAATTGCCAAAGCACGTGCCAAAGCCTAAAGGAAAGTGAGGTTATATTGTGTTTTTATTTATTTCTATTTTGCCTCCATTCTAATTGTATGTATGAATGGATGCTCTGAATTTAGTAAATTTGAAAATTTGAATTAGTTAAGCAATATATGAAAAAATTTAAAAATTATTATATATTATCTGCATTTTAATTTGTCTTATTTAAAAAAGGAAAATTCTCATAAATTCTCAGAGAATTTAAACGTTGGTTATATTCTTGGTAATATTCTCGTTCTCGGTAATATTCTCTCGGTAATATAACCGACTTAAAACACTAGTAGCTAAAGGTGCTTATATACCTCAAATTTCGATCAGATGAACATTTTTTCTGGACCGTGAAAATGCGTGAAAAGTCATTTTCACGGCGGGTATTTTTGAATTGTTTTATACAAAAAATGTTTTTTTAAGAAATATAATATTAAATAATTGTTTTAATATATAAGAACACTTTAAAATAGTGATAGAGAGATGATTTGATTAAAAAATTTAGCAAATTTTGCTTTAAAACGTTTTCTGCTACAAGAAAGTGTAAAATGACGATGTTTGTGAAATGGTTTGTACAGTGCTTCTTCCTTGTTAGTGTCTCTCAGAGTTTTGTTTATGTTATGTCGGTTCTTTTTAACTTGTAATAAATAATGAGTGCTGAAAATAAATCGGTAAGTTGAAATGTTTATCAAATAAATTTAAATTCAACTAATTGTTTCGAATAACTGAAAGAAACATGTACACATGTACACTGTACAAACCATTTCACAAACATCGTCATTTTACACTTTCTTGTAGCAGAAACGTTTTAAAGCAAAATTTGCTAAATTTTTCAATCAAATCATCTTTTTATCACTATTTTAAAGTGTTCTTACATATTAAAACAATTATTTAATATTATATTTCTTAAAAAAAAACATTTTTTGTTTAAAACAATTCAAAAATACCGGCCGTGAAAATGACTTTTCACGCATTTTCACGGTCCAGAAATAATGTTCATCTGATCGAAATTTGAGGTATATAAGCACCTTAATGTAGTGTAACGAGCGACTGTATTCTCGCTCGACTTTACTTTCGATATCTCGAATTACGATATATCAAAGCGCTAAATTTTAATATTAAAATTTGTTAAGAATTAATTTAACTGTCTCTTAATATTTTATTCTTCTTAAAATAAAACTATTCAGATATTCGTAAAAAGCATGACTAATTTTAAATAATTCCGTCACGCTTTATTTCCTTTCAAACTCTTGTTCCCAAAATGTACAAAATAAACATTTTTCAGAATAAACATTTTGGTAAAATGGCAATAGGAAATACGATCCCAAGTTTCCCTTGCTTTCAAGTTGAAATATAAACCTCAAAAAGATCATA